CCTCCCTCCCTCTCTCTCTCTTTCTCTTTTCTGAGCCTTCGCCACGACAAACGACACGGAAGCCAACCAAAAATGATATCCCGCTTCCCCCCCCATTTGCTCTGTTCTGCTCTGCCTGGATCCCACGCTGCCGTGTCCCGACACGTCATGCTATGCTTTGCACCGCGCCAGTCCACCCTGCCTGCCCGTTGCTACGCCCCGTCCCTCGTGCCTGACGGCGAGCGGCCCTGGATCCCCCCCCCCCCCCCCCCACGCGAAAATGAAACAAGCGCCAACCTGGCCCCCCCACGGGAAAAGAAGAAAAGAAAAAGATAATGCGACAACCACAGGATTCGAACCTGTGCGGGCAGAGCCCATGAGTTTACTCCCGATGACCGGGATCGAACAACGCGGGGCGTTTGGTTCTAGACTCACTCCTTGACCACTCGGACAGATTGTCCCGTCATGTCAAGCGGCCGGAAAATAGAATACACAAAGGCGGACTCTTGGGCACGGGACTGCGCGTTTAGCTAAGGTGGAGGCATGGGGGATGCACGGAGGGCTGTCTGCCACCACGACGGCGACGACGACGACGACGACGACGACCACGACGACGACGACGACCTACCTCTCTTCCTCGTTCGAACCGACGGCAATATAATGGCGCCGATCCATCCCCGGCGCTCCTAGAATCACCTCGACTCCAGCCGCCCCGTACTGCAACCGCCCCGACGACCCTCGGACCGTTTCCCACACTTGCGGGGACCGACCGACCGCCCGCACCGACTTCGGAGCCTTTCCGTTCGACCTACGCACCTCCTGAGGCCGTCGTCTGGATGCGCACGCGCACGGCTAGACAGGATTTACATTAGCAGGCAGGCAGGCACCGACTCGCGGTCTCTTCCGCCGATATACACGGTACGGCCAGCCGCGGGAGCCACTTATTGACGCAACCCTCGACCACGACGACGACGACGACGACGACACCGGCGCAGAGAGAGAGCATGTCCAGTATGCTGGTCAGGACTGGTAGTCAAGGAGGGCGACGTGTGCTCGCCTCGACTATGGCAGGTCCCCCGGGGACGGCGGTCGGACGAGGCTGGAGTAGCGTAAGTGCTCGAGCGAGCCTGGTTGTGGACGTGCCATCCATCCTGGTCCATGCTGATGTGCTTTTGCTGCCCTTCACTTTGGCCAGATGCCCGCGCCACCTCGGCCGCCGCGCAAGCGACACCTGCATCGCCAGCTCCATCCCCGCCTCGCCGCACCACCGCACCGCACGCCGGCCCACCAGGTCCGGTTCAACACGACGAGCAAGGGCAACGGCGTCGGCGGAGGCGCCTCGCAGGACCTCTCGTACCCGTCCCACCTGGCATCTCCGACGCCGTACGACATCTTCCGGCTGCCGCGCTCCACGACGTCGGCGCAGGTCAAGGCGCGCTACTACGACCTGGTGCGGTGCCTGCATCCGGACCGCATCCTCCACCCGGACTCGACGGCGTCGGAGCGCGACAAGGCCACGTCCGAATTCAAGCTGGTGGTGCAGGCCTACAACCTGCTCAAGGACCCGCGCAAAAAGGACCTCTACGACCGCAGCGGATTCGGGTGGGACTCGAAAAAGGGCCTCACCGATGCCGCCTCGCGCGGCGCCGCGGGCCACCCGTGGGACCGCACCGGCTGGGCCAACCGCGGCGGCGTGGACCGACGCTACCGCCGTCCCGCCGCCGACGGCTGGTCGGGCAGCCAGCACGACTTTTACGGCTGGCAGACGTACGCCGCCTCGCGCCACGGTCCGGCCTTTTACGGCTTCACGCCCTCGTACAACCCGCACGCCGCCCGTCCGCGGTACACGAGCAACGGCCTCTTCTTCTCGACCGTCTTTGTCGTCACCTGGTTCGTCGCCGCGCTCCAGTACCGACGCATCAGCGCCGAGAGCAAGAGGGCCATCGAGCGCGCCGACCGGCACCACCTCGATGCCGCAAAGAGCCTCGAAGAGGCCAGGCTCGTCGCCAGGAGCGACGAGGGAAGGCAGAGGTACGAGGCCTACAAGCGCCGGGCCCGCGAGCAGAAAGTCTTGGAGGAGCTCGAGAGGCAGCAGGCTAGACTCATGGCCGGCCAGCCGCTCGTGCATGGCCACCACAACGACGGCCAAGAGGGGCACGCGACGATGACGGCGGCGAGGGACAGGCTGCAGATTGAAGCTGGACCGTGGGGTATCGGTCATGGCGGACCCAGCGGCAAAGAGGCTGCAGAGAGGAGAAAGGCAGAGGCGAGCCAGAGGGAGCAGAGGAGGATGGGCAGGATGCCGCCGCCATCGCCGCCGCCTGCGGATTCGTCGCCTGAGCCAGCAAACCCGTCGACTCAGCCTCAGGCACCGTGACAGCCCTGGGCGCCGCCGCACTCGGCTCGTGGCCGCCCGCCCGCAATCTAGACATGCGTCCATTCCCTTTCCCATTCGCGGCCTGCCTCGTCGACGGCGCCGCGCCATTCCTCACGCCTGCCCCAAAGCCTTCAGCCGCGCCTTTTCCTTTTCCTCCTTGAGCTGCGCCAGGCGGTTCCGCCTCTCCTGCCGCTTGCGCTCCAGCTCGGCCTTCTTCTCCTCCTTGGACAGCGCCGCCGCGGCCGGCGATGCCGGCTGCTTTTTCGCCTCGTGGCCCACCCCGTCCTCGTCGTCATTGTCGTCGTCGAACGACGCCCACGTCTCTTGCATCGGCTGGACGTCGTCGCCGGTCGGCGTCGATGGCTGTGCCGCCGGGCTTGCCATGGCCACCTCGCGCGGCACGGGCGCCTGGAACGCGCTTGCGGTCAGCTCTTGCGACGCCGTCATGCTGCTCGCTCCGCCATCGCGGTCCGGTATCGCTGCGTCGCTGTTGTTCGTGGACGCCGCCGTCGCCGCCTTTGTCGCGTCGGCGCCGTCGTCCCACGCCTCGCCCCACGCCTCGTCGTCCGCCCCAGCCGCTGCCACCTTGAGGCTGGAGCTGGACAGCGCACGCTGCGGGTCGATGTCCGTCGCTGCTGCCGGCCTGGGCGGCGGCGCGGCAAGGTGGCTGCCCGAAGCGGTCCGCACGACGCCCAGCCGGCCTCCTCGAGCTCCGCCTGCTGCCGCGGCGCTCTTCCGGGCGGCGGCTGCTGCCAGCGCGGCCGCGTTCGCCGGCGTCCGATTCATCCGCGTCTTGCCGATCGAGGTCGTCTTCGTCTTCGGCTGTCCGATCTCGAAGCTCGACCAGTCGGCCGTGTCGTCGTTGACGTCGATCAGATCCTTCTCGACCTCGCCGATTTGACTGCCCCTTTTCAGCGCGACCGACGGGTCCTCGTCAAAGTCGTAGTCGAGCGCATCGTTGAACGGCGAGGCTGCAGCGACAGACGACGACCTCGAGCTGGAAGTCGAGGCCCTCGCGTCTTGCGCGGCGCCCAATGCACCAAGCTGCGGTGGTGGCAGGGCCGGCGTCGAGACTGAGGGCGTCACGCGGCCGTCCATGCTGGAGTGCAGGTCGTACGCCGGAGTCGGCGTCACCTCGGACGCTACCTTGGTGCCGCCGCTGCCGCCCCCGCCGTTCGCGGCGCTGGAGAACGACGAGAGCGCCGATGACATGGCCCAGCCGGCCAGGGCAGTGGCGGCGCTGCCGGCGGTCGAGGCCATCGAGGCTGCCGCCTGCGCCGCCGCCGATGATGATGCGCCGTCGACGCCCTCGATGCCCGCGGCCTGCTCCGGCGTCAGCACCGTGTCGGGCATGCCTTTGACGCCTTCCTCGATGACCCTGAGGAACATCTTGACCGCCTTGTCCGCCTGGTCCCGCACCAGCTTCTCTTTGTCGACCAGCCCGGGCGCGACGGCGGGCAGGATGTGCCTCGCCGCGTCTTCGTGGTCGTACGAGTCGCCGGTCGCCATCAAGGCCATGAGGCCGGCCACGCGGGCGTGGACGAAGCTGTCCTTGAGACTGCGCGAGAAGGCGGGCACGAGCACCTTTTTGCGCGTCGAGAGCGAGAGGTGGGGCGCCAGCCTGCCCAGCAGAATGGTGGTGTTGGTGCGTATCCCCGCCTCTGGGTCGACCTGCATCCGCGCCAAAAGGCGGAGCAGGTCGTTGTTGAGGATGCGGTCGCTGAGCTTGGGAGCCAGCGGGAGGATGGCCTTGAGCGTGGCCTCGCGGATGACGGTCACCGAGTCGTTGAAGCCGGTGACGAGGTTGGGCCAGACCTTGTCGGTGACGACCTTGTTCTCGAGGCGCTCGGCATACAGTGGCAGGTTGTCGAGCAGGGCCATGCGCGTCGACCGGTCTGGTGAGGTGTACGCCTTGAGCAGCGGCGGAACCATGGACTCGTTCCACTCGCTGGCGGATAGGGGCTGGGCCAGGCGCAGCACGAGCGGCAGCAGAGTCGAGGCCTGGGTGCTGGCAGAAGGTACGGTTCCTGGAGGCGGAGCGTAGCTCAGAGCTCCGACGAGCGCCGGCAGCACCTTGTAGGTGAGGAACTCTGGGTTGAACGAGTCGGGCTTGTCGCGGAGGAGTCTGTAGGGCCAGCCAGGGCGCACGAGCAGTCGAGTGAGGGAGGAAGCAGACAAGCACGCAAACAGGGCGTTCGCCGGATCAGCCCGAGGCCATCGGCCCAACAACACTTCTACATCGAGGGTGCTCGAAGACCGAGTACTCACTTGATGATGGCGGCCTTTTCGTTTTCGCTGGACAAGAGGAAGCCGTCGAGGCCGCGCGCCACCTTGACGAGGGTGTTTTCCTTGAGGAAACCGCCGTCTGCCTCGCCGGCTTCGAGCATCTTTTCGACGCTGAGGCGGTTTTTGGCGTTGGGGACGAGCATGCGCTGCAGCATGGCGTAGACGGGCTGGGGTACATGGCCACGAGGAGGCGGGGAGCTGCCAATCTGCGGTGGCAGGGTTCCGTTGAAGGCCTCGATGGCGACGAGGGCGAGCGAGTAGCTGTCGAGCAGCGTCGAGTCCATCGAGGCGAGGACGTTCCAGCCGTTCTGCTTGACCTCTGGAGGGGCGTAGCGGGCGCCGTCGGGGATGAGGTGGGCATGGGTGAAGAGGAGGCCGCTGGCGCCTTCCGCATGGGGCGTGAGGGCCTCGAAGCCGGCGAGCTTCCACTCTCCGGAGCTGCTGAGGAAGATGGACTCTGGGCGGAGGTTTGCATGGGTCGAGGCGGCTTCCTTGTGGAGAAACTTGACGGCGTTGACGATGGACGAGAGGCCCCATACGATCCAGTCCTGCTGCTGCGGCGATGCGCGCTTGTCAGGATGCTGGGCGAGGTGGTGGGAGAGCGGGGTGGCCTTTTCGACGGCGATGTAGATTGCCGTCGAGGTTTCTGCGCTGTCGAGGAGGCGAAGGACGTTGGGATGGCGGACGGTCCTGAGTTTTCTTGCGGCATTCTTTGCGAGTGGCAGGAGGTTGGATCGGTTGGCGTTGTGGGGCTGGGATACGTCAAAGGCGAGGACGGTGCACTGGGTCGAGTCGTCGCGCTTTGTTGCGTGGTAGAGGGACCAGATGGTCTGCGAGCGGTACTCGAGGAGCTCTTGTCCGATCGTGTAGTTTGGAAAGGGGCCAGACTTTGCCGATGACAGCACGCTGGACGCGGCCGACGAGAGCGACTTGAAGTAGTCCATGGTGCGAAGGGTGGGTGTGGCAGGAGGGTAAGATAGGGCAGGGCAGGGCAGGGCAGGGCAGGGCAGGGCAGGGCAGGGCAGGGCAGGGCAGGGCAGGGCAGGGCAGGGCAGGGCAGGGCAGTGCACAGCAGAGTTCGAAAGCGCTGGGCAGGGTGATGCCGGCGTCAGGCTTAACTGAGCTGAACTGAAGTGCCGAGACTAGGCAGCGGCGCCCGCTCGGCGCAGCAGGTTCGACCGAGACCGGCCGAGATGGCCTGGTTGCGTGGATGAGGAGAGGTTGGAGCGGCGGATCGAGGTAGGTTGGAGCCGCCCTGCTTGGAGGCGCTCGTCAGCCGCGGGCGAGCGGGTGAGTCCGGAGATGTGGGCCCGATAGGTTGCTTCAGAAGAGCGGGGAAGAGCCGACGGGGCAGCGACGAGCAGCCGTAGGTGGTGTGAGGGTGAGAGAGGTCGAGCGAAGGTATGATGTGGATAGGAGGTGGCTAGGATCGGAAGGAAGCCGACCAGCAGGCTGGCGGAAGGCGCCGAGACCAACACCGCCCCCGACGTCGGTCGGAAGCGTGCGTCGGCCTTTGTTGGCGTCGTTGGCGCTGCCAGCCAGCCAGCCAGCGAGCGCCAGCCGGCCCAGAGCCACCTTTGAGGGCTCGGCGAGGGTTGGGCCAGCTAGCTGCACGTCGTCTGTCGGCGGCAGACTGACGCGCCCACGTTTGCGTCGGCCTTGGCCTTTAGCCAAGGTTGCCGCCTGGCAGGCGTTGCTCCACAACGCACGTACGCCTGGCCGCCGGGCTGCCAGAGGCCATCATCGACCCGGGCTGGCGGACGGGCAGCCCTGATCGGCCAAGCCAGCCAGCCAGGCCCAGGCCAGACAGACGGACAGACAGACTGAGGGCCGGCCGCCTAGCAAACATTCCACCCTTCGTCGCTGCCAATCTCCATCCTCCATCCCCCCGCACATCCTCGCTTGTCCACACCGCCGCCGCCACCACCACCACCACCACCACCACCGCTGTCATCACCTTCATCGCCACCACCCACATTCCCTTCGGTTCCGCGTCCTCCGCCTCACGCCGCCCCGCAGCCGCGCTCTGCCGACCCATCCCTCGGCGACTCTCTCGGGCAATACCAGCTCGTCTCTTGTCCCGCCGGCTGGATCACACCCGCTTTGACCCTGGCCTCACTCCAGGCGGACTTCCTTCCAACAGCCCCCGCTTCGCGTCTTCTTTCGTATCGTATCATTCCGTATCTTCTCATCTCATCTCGTCTCGTCTCGCCTCGTCTCATTTCCACACCGAGCCGCCTCGACGACGCACCTCGGCTGCTCTCTGTCTGAGCGCCCCCATCGCGTTTCACCCCTTCCGCCCAAACGCCAAGCTAGTCAGCACACTCAGCACCATACGCAGAGTCGGGTCGCCGCCCTGGCCTCCACCATCGCCGAGCTCCATCACTACGGTCGAGCAAGCTTCGCGGGACTGCTTGGCGGCGATCTCGTATGTCGGCCACCCAGCGAAATGAGCCAACTGACCCCAACACAAAGGCCCATACCGCCTCGCTGAACCGCAACGGATCCAACGGCGCACACCTCAACGGTCTGCACCCGCATCACACCGCACAGCAGCCCTCGCCCCGCCCCTCGCTGCAGCCGCACGCCGCCCACCAGCAGCCATCCCCTCGCGATGCCATCGCACGTATCAAGTCCGAATCCCTAAACGGCTCACAAAAGCTCATGATGGGCGTCCCGCCCGCGAGCACGCCAGACCATCACCAAGCTTCTGCTACGTCCGTCAATGGAGACGCCAGATCCAGCGGCCGCGATGCGCTCCATCCGCCGATACCGTCGGTCTCAGCAGTCGACGTCAAGGGAAAGGCGAGAGAGGTGGATCCCGTCGATGACATCCCAATAGCCCAGCTCGAGCAGGAGCTTCCTCTGGAAGATGCAGACCTGGTGCCTCTGGCGGCGCTGGTGGAGCGGCTGGCAAACTACGGCTATGAGACCCTCCAAAACCTGGCCGAGACGTAAGTACCAGATGCCGAACCGGAACCAGCCGAGCGCGGCGGCCCAGCCCAGCTCACCGTCATTTGCGGCATGTCCGTCACCACGATCCTGCTCGTCAAAGGTTGCCGTCGCTCCCATCGTCGTCGCGGAGGGCCAAGATCTTTTCGACGGCCTTGGACGTGCGTAAGCAGTTTCTCAAGCTGCTCGTGCTCGTCCGCTGGTCAAAGGACATTGCCGACCTTCAAAAGGCCCGCAACATCATCTCGCTGCTGTCCGAGCAGCAGTGGCAGCACGAGGATGTGTTTGCCGGCCTCACCGATGTGCGAAAGATCCTGCCCAACGCTCGGATGAGAAACGCCGACCTGCCCACCGCCATCGACGTTCTGCGGACCGGCAGCTACCGTCGGCTCCCTTCGAGCCTCAAGGATATGGTGGTGCCTCCGAGGCCGTTCAGCGACGCCGAGGCCATCGAGATTGTCGCCCAGCTAGAGGATGCGCTACGGCTGCGCATGGCCTGTCGCGAGATCATCCCGGCCCCCATGTCCCGCTACCGGATTCTGGATGGTAAGGTCCACTTCCGAGTGCCCGGACTCTACGAGACGCAGCTCACCGCCAGCGGCAGCGGGGCGCCACCACCCGGCTCAGCAGCTGCTGAGGCGGCAGCCGCGGCTGACCGGTGGTGGCTGCTGGATCTCAAGTTCGACATCCGTATCACGGGACCCAACGCCGATGCGGCCATCAAGCTCTTCCCACGGAAGCCGCGCAAGGTCTACCGGGAGAGGCTGCGGATATGGGGTGACCACGAGCTAGAGCCAAGGTCCGCTCAACAGGAGCAGGACCAAGGCACCGCCGGCGACGAGGAGAATCCATCCAAGGGTGGCGCGGGCAACGCGGAAGGTGTGCAGGCAAAGGGCGAAGATGCGATGGACGTCGACCAGGACCCGGCCGCGCAGGTCGACGCAGACGGAGACGGCGACGGCGACCAGCGGCAAGTCAGCTCCAGCCAGGGAAGGGACGCTCCCTTGGTCCGGCTGCACGCCTTCCTGCAAGAACGTTCGCTGCACTACCAGATGGACATCCTGCAGTACCAGGCGAGGGAGCTGATGCGTCTCAACTGGGGCTCCAGCCTGCGCGTCGAGACGTCGGAGCGGCCGCGCGCGCTGACGCTGCGCTACTGGGTCAATGCGCAGACGACACGATCCTCGAAGCAAGGCTCGGCGGCGTCCGAGGCGGCCAAGGGCGGCTCTCTGCGCATCGCCATCGCCGACCTGACCGGTAGCGTGGGCAAGAAGCGCATCGTCGCCGACCTGCTCGACAGCGAGGCCGACGTCGACGGCGAGGACGAAGCCAGCATGGTGGCTGGCGAAGGCGGCGATCGCCAGGTGTCCGTTTCCGCCCCTGGAGGAGAGGGCCAGACGCCGTTCCTGGTCAAGCGGCGGCACCTGCAGGTGACCTGGGAAGTCGACGCGGCGATCAAGGCCGAGGCGGGCAGCGTCGATCTGGAGATCTCTTCACAAGCCCTCGACCTCGAACGACTGCTCACCGAGCTCGTCCAGAGGCACGCTTCGGCGCTCCTGCGCGTCCTGCAGAAGCAGATCCTGGCCGGCCAACATGCAGTGTCGAAGGGACTGCGGTCTCAAGACTGCCGTCTCTGCTCGGCGGCAGTGCGCAGGAAGGACGTGGCGACCGGCGTCCGACGCCCTCCACGGTCGGAGTACCTCCGGATCGACCTGCTCGGCAGCAGCAGAGAGAGACAGCCGGTCGGCATGGCCAGATCGAGCGGGATGCCTCCATTGCGCCTCAAGATCGAGGCAATCTCGGGCAGGCTGCAGCTCGAGGCCGATACAGAGGCGCTGGCGTTGGAAGGCGACGCCAACAAGGAGGGCGACCGGCAACGACAGGTGGCGCTGCTCACCGCTTTTAGCGCCGGAGCCCTCGCCGCCCGGCAGAGCTCGGCTCGACTCAACGACGCCTCTGATCGCATCAATGCCTCGATCGATGCCCTGCTCGACTCGCTGCACCGCCTCGAGATCTTTGCGCGAGTCGAGCAGTGGGAGCGGCAGGCGTCATACATCGGCCTGCGGAGCACGCGCCGACTCAGCTTCAGGCAGAGCGAGTACACCAAGTTTGGTCCCTCGCTCGCGACGTGCGGCCCGCCTGCCCTCTACATCCCGCTCGGGAGCCGCCTCCCCGGCTTCTACCTGGCACTTCAGCCCTCTGAGACGACCGGCGTCAACGTTGCGCTCCTCTCGACGATGCAGATGGTCGAAGGGCCTGGCACCATTGTCACTGCCTTGCAGTCGATCGAGTGGCTGGATCGGCAAAGGCTCGCGGCAGCGTCCGACTCGAGGCCTGTCCCGGATGGTGCGGCTCTCGGCAAACGAAAACGAGGCGGCCCAACCGACTGGGCGGCCGGCGGCAACGTCGTTCTCGCTGACGCAGAGACCGGCAAGGGCGAGCTGACGCTCGAAGAGTTGGCCAACATGCACTCGTACAGCGTCGCCCTCATTTGCTATGCTAGCCTCGAGCAGCAGCTGCGGGCCCGGTCCATCGCTTACGTTCACGTGGGCGACTTCACGTCGAGGCCCAGACCACCCAAGGCTGCAAGGGTGCAGCGGGCGGGTGGCGCAAAATCGGAAAACAGCGGACCAGGGGTCGGCGTCAGCGGCGACGATGGCCAGGCCGGTGGCGAGAGCTGGCACGAGGACGACTCGGACGCGGTGGTTGCCAGCATGGTGCCGACCCTCTGCCTGCCCGCGGCCGGCCTGTTCGGGCCGGCCAAAGCCCACCTGGTGAAGCGGAACGTGTCGATGCAGATATGCCAGTGGTGGGACAAGGACAAGGTCCGGGTCGAGATCAGCGTCAAGCTGCGCATGCGCTCGAGAAGGTTCAAGAGCTTCAGAAGGGACGTCGAGCCGTCGGTTGCGGGCATGCTGCAGCCGGGCGGCATCGGTCAAGTGCCCAGCTCGCGGGCCTATCTCGAGTTCGACGGACGTACCTCGATCCTGACGTTCTCGACGCCGGACTTGCACAACTGCGTCGCGGCCTTTCTTACGGAATGGCAGCGCATCTCGCCGGCCATCCAGCTGGCAAGAGAGGTGCTCAACGTCGGCCGAGGCGAGGCTAGGACCCACGGGCAGGATCCGACGTCAAAGGCGCCGCAGACTGCGCTGGAGCTCATGGACTTCGACTTTAGCGCGGTGACGTTCGCCTATGGATGGGCGAAGCGGAACGGCACCGACGCGAACATGGACAAGAGCGAGACGAAGGTGGCCCCTCCGGCGGGCCAGCGGCGCCTGCTCGTCCGCGTACGCTGGCAGGAGCCAAGCGTGGCGGCCAACAAGTTCACCGGCCTGTTAGAGAGCGTGCCGGGCGGGTACCAGCTCGACTTTGGGTCGCGGGAGGCGACTTCTGGAGACCCAGAGGCTTGGTTCTCTGAGGCCGCCGCCGAGGCCAACCCGCACCGGGCCATTGGACACGAGCTTCGTCGGGCGGTCAATGCAGCGGCTGCGGCGCTCGACCGGCCATTGGAGCGGTCGGATCGCGTCTGGAGGGGCTTCTTCCGCCTGCTGCAAGACACGCTGCCGATCGTCAAGGAGGTGCAACCCCTCATCCAGGGCTGCCTCGAAGATGCAGAGTGTCCCGAGCTCGAGATCAAGTCGGCTACCTGGTTCCGCGTCCAGTTCCTGGATCGGTGAGTCTTTCCTGCGGCCGTCGAGGCTCAGACGACGACCGCGATACCCGGAGGCTGACCGACCCATCGTTCCTGCATCCCTGCCTCTTCTGACAGGTATGCCCTCGATATCCGACTCACGACCAACTCGCGCTTCCTGCTGTGCGATGCCTCGCAACCCCTCTTCCGCTCCCCATCCAAGGGGCTCGACACGTCGATGCCGAGCAGCGTCAACGGTGGCCCCGACTCGTCGCCCACCGGCAAGGACGTGCTCTACACGCTCGCCAAGTCAGCGAAGCTGTCCGAGCCGGGTGGGCAGCACGAAAAAGACTGGACGCGGCTCGAGTCGACGGGGCAGTACCTGTCGATTCCGCGCTTCAGCGAGCTGCTCCGATCCGTCTGCGAAGGCGTACCCAAATCGCGCCGACTCCCCAACAGCAGCACCGGCGGCGGCGGCGGCGGCGGCGAGGTTGAGGATCTTGTCAACCTGCGTAGGGCGCTGCTCTGCTCTGCCGACGATGCCGTTGTCGGCGTCGTCCTTCCCGCCCTGATCAAGGCTATCCGGAGCGGGTTGAGGGGTGCCCTATCGACCTCGTAGCCTCCTGTCCGCCAGTTTTGGGACGTCAAGAGGATGGGTCGAGACTGAGCAGGTAGTCGGAGCGACAGGCGCGGCTTGGAATGGCAACCACGAGCCTTGTGTTTAAAGCTTATCATCGCCCTCCTTCGGCTCGGCTCGGCTCCCGCTCCCCGTGCTGGAGGCGGATGAGTATGACTTGGACGACACCGGTCTGTCGGTGCACGATGGCGCTTCACCGCTTTCCCCCGCATCCAGACAGACAAGGGTTTTAGAAACGAGCCGAGCGATGAAGCGACGGAAGTTCTCAGGATGTGCGATGGCTTTTGGACTTTGACAAGGAGACGGACAGAGGCAGAGGCGGAGGCAGATGGAGGAGGTAAGATAAAATTACAGGGTAAACCAGATGAGACGAGACGCCGTGATGCGGGACGCGACGGGATGGGGAAGAAGGAGCAGGCGGCGGGTGGCATGCGTTGGGAGTTTGTAGGGGGCAGGAGGAGCCTCGACCCGTCGAACCATCAGAGTCCAGGATGGGCGGGGTCAAGTGCGACCGACTGTCGACGTGAGATTGGAGAGTGCCGGAGGGGGTTTAGAAAAGAGGGTGGATATGCGTGTGTGCGCTGGCATGGAGCATGGTCGCAGAGCAATCGACGACTGAGAGAGAGAGAGAGAGCGCGCGCGAGCGAGCGAGGGAAAGAGAGTGCAGCCGCGGGGACCATCCAGCCTTAGAAGTCCACGCCGAGCAGCGCCGTGCCCGCCGGACTCTTCTCGAGGCTCTGGATCTGCCGCGCGTACCAGCCGTCGGATTGGAGCCGCGCCATGACGCTGCCCTCGTCCTGAGCCGGGTTGGGCCCGTGCGAGGTACCGGCGCGTCCGGTACGTGGCCTCTGCGTGCGGGGTCCCTGTGCCGATCCCGGGCGCGCCTGTGTGAGCTCGCGGCGGCCGCCTGTCGGTGCCGTCGAGGGTCGCAGGTTGGAGCGGAAGGCGTTGACCGCCTGCGCGTAGCTGCCTCGCATTTGATCCCGTCCGTCGTCGCCGCCAGCGGCGCCGCCAGAGGGGCCCTGTCGGCTGCCTGTCCGGCCAGACGAGAGCGCAGAGGCACCGGCGTCTGCCGCGGCGGGCCTTCGTGCCTTGCGGCCGTTGGGCGTCGGTGGCGGCATCGGGTAGCCGTAGACGTCGGACGGGTCGACATCGCCCGGCGCCGCCTTGTTACCGTGCTTCTTGCCGTCATCGGAGCGCTCGTCGACATACCGGTGGCCGCCTTGGGTCGAGACCGTAGCACTGGCCGTCTCCTCGGTGATAGTGTCGTCGGCGGGGTGTGCAAAGCGGCCCTGGCTGACGACGGCGGAACCCTGGCCCTCGCCGCCCTCGAGGATGAAGCGTCGGATGCCGAGCGAAGAGCCGCCGTTGCCGCCATTCTGCCCGTTGAACGAGTTGCTGCGCGCCACCGTCGACGAAGGGCTGCTGGACCGCTGGTCCTCGGCCCGGAGGCCGGCGACGCCGCGCATTTCGACGTCGTCCTGCTGCTGCTGGACCTGGGGTGACCGGACCGAGGCGGCGCTGGTGCGACGGTCACGCTGCTCGGCGGGGATCCTGGGCGAGCCCTCGTACAGCGATGGCTCGTAGGCGTCCTCCCTCGAGGTGCGCTGCACCGGGTCGTTGCTGAGCCGCGAGGCCCAGCGCCTCACCGTCGGCAGGGGGTAGCTGTGCTTCGAGTTGGGGCTGCCGTAGTGGTCCTTGACCAGGTCCTTTTCGTCGCCCGAGCTCGAGTCGAGGCGGTCGTCGCTGGTGTTGTAGGCGGCATAGCGCCCAGACGAGATCATCGAGTCCTTGTGCTGCAGGTAGGCGTCGATGCCCTTCTCCTCGGCCTCGCTTTGCAGCGACGACGGGTAGCGCCTGCGCATCTCGACCATGACCTCGTGTTCAAAGTCGTCCGCCTGCCTGCCTCGCAGGAGCATCATCTGGCTCTTGGAGAAGAGCGTGTAAGGGATGAAGACGAAGGGGGTGGCGCTGTTGGGCTTGTCGGTGGGGACGATGTCCGACACAAACTGGCCGCTCTCGTTGCCAGAGTAGGATGTGGGCATGGCGCGCGCCTCGGGCAGGACCGCCTGCACCAGGATCATCTCGGCGGGCGCCGTCATGTCGTCGAGGCTCGAGGGCACCTCGAGCACCTCGGCGCTGATGCGAGCCGTCTGGCAGATCTTGGGATAGAAGCGGACCGAGTTGTGCAGGGCATCGAGCGCAATGAAGAGGGCCGTCTGGAACTGGATCATGAGCTGGAGGGCGTCCTGCTCGAGCTCGGACTCGGGGTCGCGCACGACGTGGAGCGACGACATCGACTGGAGGTACTTGCGGCGCTCGCCCGAGCGAATCGACTCGCGCTCGCAGATCTTCATGGCGTCCTCCATCGTAGCCTGGTCGAGGGATCCGAGGAAGGTCTTCATCTCGGGCGTGATGTACTCGACGTCCGGCAGGCGGTAGGCGGGGATCTGGTGGCGGGCGAAGTTGTAGACAAGCACGTCGAGGCCGCCTTCCTTGCTGGTCGAGGCGCGGACGCCAAAGAGGCCGGCGTAGACACCGCCGGGCTGGACCACGGGACGGGTGCCACGCTTCGAGTAGACCTTGAGCGACTCGAGCAGAGGCTCCATCTCGTCCTTCTTGACGGCGACGCGGTCGGCGAGGACGCCGGCGAGGAAGCGGGTCTCGGTCATGCGGTAGCCGCGCTGGCGGAAGCGCTCGGTGCTCGCGTCGGCGGATCCGGGCAGCTCGCGGACGAGGAAGAGCATGGCGCCCTCCTCCTGCGAGTCGCCATCGCCAAAGATGCTGGGGACGGGGCCGTTGATGGAGCTCTCGTCGTCGGCAAACTGCTTCGAGGGCGCGAACTTGTCGGCGAGCTGCGCCTGGCCCTCGCTGTGCCGGGTGCCGGTGGGCAGGACGTGGTCGTAGAGGACGCCGATGTCCTCAAAGGGGATGGCGAGCTCGTCGGCCAGCTGGTTGGCGGCGTAGATGAAGCGGTCGCGGAAGTCGGCGAGCGACTGGGGGCCCTTGCGTCGCTCCTCGGCCAGGTCGAGGCTCCTCCGGCCGGTGGCGATGATCTTCTTGCCGCGGCGCTTCCACTCGGCCTCGCGCCGCTGCTCGTTTTGCGCCTCGGCGAGGAAGCGGGCCGAGATGGCCTTGAGCCACGGCGTGATCATGTGCCAGTCCCACGAAAGCGAATAGAGCCACTGGAACGTGGGCTGGCGGTTGTCGAGGGCCTCGAGGATGTCACGGGTGTTGACGTCGGTCTCGATGATCATGAGGGGCATGGTGCCGTCGGGCTTGACCAGCAGGCGGCCCTGCTTGTCGAACGTGGCCGAGCAGACCACGACCTTCTTGGCCCTGCTGCGGGCGTTTTTGATGACGAGGAGGTCGGACACGCCGATGAAGATCGAGAAGATGACGATGACGGCGCACATCGAGGCAATGGCGATCACGAGGACATTGTTGCGCGTCTTGCCGCCGAGCAGGTTGCCGGGCTGCGACACGCCGCTGGCGGGCACCTGGTAGCTGGTTCCCCACACGCCGATGTAGTGCATTCCCGAGACGCCTCCGGCGAGGATGAGTGCGCAGAGGATGCGCTTCCACCAGCTGTCCTCCCACTGGGCGCGGAACTTGAAAAAGGCGACGAGGGCGACGGTCGAGGCGATGCAAGCGACGACGATCGACGCGACGACCTGGGCGGGCGAGTAGATGACGGTGAAGTTGGTCTTGAGAGAGGCCGAGTAGTGCATCAGCGAGACGATGAGGCCGACGAGGATGCCGCTGAGCGAGGTGCGGAGGATGCTGAACGAGACCTGGGCGTCGACGATGAAGAAGGCGAGCAGCAGGGCGACGAGCGGGACGAAGAGGCTGAGGACGGTGAAGCCCGGGTTGACCTTGATGTACCAGGTGACGCCGGCAATGGGGCGGAGCGACATGTACATGCCGATGAAGTGCATGCCCCAGATGCCGACGCTGGCCATGGTGGTGGCGGCGAGCGAGAGGAGGGCCATGTTCTTGAGACCCTTGTTGCCCGTCCGCTTGCCGAGGACGAGCAGCGTGGCGTACGAGCCGAGCGCGGCGACGGCGACCGAGGCGAAGACGATGCCCGGGCTGAACCTCTGCGGGATGCGGTGCTGGGTGTAGTACTCTGCGACGGCCGTCATGTTGCTGGCCGACAGGTAGTCGGGCAGCTTGGGCTCCGAGTAGAGCCCTCTCGCCACCAGGTATGTCGCTGCCATCTTGTCAAGGCGCCGGGAGAGGGTCGCTGAGGCACGTTTCTACGATGCGCTGGCAGACGAGGATTCTGCCGCTGCTGGTCACCGTCGTGGCCGTGGCCGTTCAAAGAGGCTGGTGGCTATGTCGTCGGCACCGCTAGCGAAGGCTGCAGGTCAAAGGGGAGGCCGGGTCGGCCGGGTGCACCAGCTGTGCAGGGCCGGTCGAAGCGCAAAGGGCTTGCACTGACAGAGGGGGCGCGGCGCGGCTAGGAACCTGAAGACAGTGTGGCGTCCGATCCCGGCACGGTTTCGACGAGGGCGTGCAAAGGGAGGATGCGAAAGGCGCCCGGAGACCGAGAAGGACGAGGAGGAGGAGGAGGGGGGAGCAGGCCGAAGAGCGGCGGCAAAGCGGCAGAGGTGAGCGATGGAAGAGACGAGGAGAGGGGGCGAAGGGGAAAGCCGCTCCACTCTGGCAAAGCTGGGCTTACCTTTATGTAGGGCCCGAGGAATGGGGGTACGCAGCGTGGCTGACAGCGTGCGAAGCGGGCCGGGCCAGGCAGAGAGGGCGGGCAGCTAGGCTGGCGCTCGAGGAGGCGTGTGAGGAGGCGACGCCCAGGAACGGGAGGTGGACCCTTCTTGTCTAGGGCGTTGTGAAGGCTTGCCTCGGGTGCGTCTGTCGGGGATGGAAAAGGGCAGGCAGAGGCAGGCGAGGCAAGGCGAGGCAAGGCGAGGCAAGGCGAGGCAAGGCGAGGCAAGGCGAGGTAGAGCGTGGAGACGAGGGAGGAGGGACGGGGAGGCGCAAGGCAGGCGCTTGCTTGGCGGCCTCTGGACTGTCTGCTGCTCTGGCTTGCCGTGCTTGCTTTGCTGCTGTGCGTGCGTGCGTGCGTGCGTGCGTACGTGGTTGTCGAGGCAGGCCAGGCAACTGTTTGGCTATCTGCGATCTGGTGGGTTCAGGCTTGATGTCGGTTGGCGGACAGACGGCGGGCTGCAGGCAAGCAGGAGGGGAAGGGCAAGAGCAGGGCAAGGGAGAAAGAGGCAGGGCGGCGGGGGGCCGTAGGTCAAGGTCGAGGTCCAGGTCCAGGTCGAGGTCGAGGTCCAGGACCCGGGAGGAAGGGGCCAGGCAAGGCAGGGGTGCCGGGAGCGGACGGCCGGTGGAAGAAACGGGCAAGCAGGCAGGCAGGCAAGCAAGGGCGATGCGGCTGGCATCGTGAGCGTGGGTACAGCCAGGCCAGCCATTCAGGCAGAGAGGCCAGGCCAGGCCAGGCCAGGCCAGGCGACGCAGGCCATTCAGCCACGCCAATGGCGACGCACGCATGCATGGCAGGGTCGAGGTGAGGAGCGAGGAACGGCGTACGCCGGTCGGTGCCCAGCCTACCTGCCGCCTCTTCCTACCTGCTTGCCTGCTTGTCTTGCGTTGCGTTGCGTTGCGTTGCCTTGGCTTTGCCTGCCTGCCTGGGACCTCTATTCATGCCGCCGCAGACGCGACAGAAGCGGCGTCAGAGCCGACTTCGGTCTGCCGGCCTGTCTCTCTCTGCTCTCTCTCTCTCTTTGCAAACCTAGTCGGCGCCGTGCTCGCTGCTTGCGCTTGCTCTTCTAGCTGCTCCATTTGCCGCTGCAGAGGGTGCCGCACGTACTCAACGGCTCTGCTTCAAGAGGACCACGGCAAGCTGGCCACCAAATTGAGCGGCAGTAGAGCGTCAGAGCGCCTCTTTGCTGCCGTCGGAGACGCAGACCGGAGTCAGAAGGAAAGGCAGGCAGGAAGGGGTGGGAGAAAAAGCCAGGGATGGGGGGCGGCAGCAGGCAAGCCAGAGACAGCGGCGGAGGCCGAGGCAACCCGCGGAGAGAGAGAGAGAGCCAGCAAGAGGGCAAAGGGGCAGGCAGGAACGAAAGAAAGGACGCCGGGCGTACGGTCGAGCGAGAGAGCAAGCGGAAAGAAGGAGCGGCAGGTGGGCGTAGGTTTGTCGGTACGGACAGCCAGGCCGGCAGGCAGGCTGGATTTCGGGGCCTGGCCTGCTTATTGCGAAATCGACCTCGACCTCGACCTCGAACCCGGGACCTGAAACCTGGGGGGGTGGGGGCGCTGGTTCGCGCTGCCGGCTCGAGTAACACCGTCGTGTGTGCTCGCGTGGGTGTGGGTGAGTTTGGAGCGGCAGGCAGGCCACAGGGCGGTTTTCGCTGCCTGCCAAAACGGCCGTCGAGCCGATAGAAAACGGAGCAGGCAGGCGAGCTTGGCCTGGCCGTGCTTTTTTTGTCTGGCCTGGCCGCGGCGGGACCATACAACATGACGACCGGCTCGACCTCGTCGTCGCCGTCCATTCGGGTGGCGACGCCGTCCTCAAAGATTTCCAAAGCAGCGGTGCGGACAGGCCTGTTGGCTGGCTTGCAGGCAGAAGAGGGTTGGCGACGGGCAGGCAGGCGCATGCGTAGTGTGTGTGAGAGAGAGGGGTGGACAGACGCGGGAGGCTAGGGTCCACGCAAGGGGTTGTCGGCCACACAGCCCCGACCGGCGAAGACCAACGCACGCTCCGTGGTGGCGGCCGCCGCCCTCGAGCACCATCGCGGACGGCAACGCGCCGACGAGACAGACGAGCGAGTCGAAGGCAAGCCATGCCGGCCGGGCCTCAGCTGAGCAGCTTGGCAGCCGGCCTTACTCAATAATCTTCCAGGACGCTGACTGCTGGTCAAGGCGCGGGGCGATGAGAGGATGGCCCGACGTGGTCCGCCACCGCTCGGATCGCGCACTCGCGCCGAAATCTCCCTCGGTGAGCACACCCCTCCGACCCCCTTGAACCCCCCTCTCTCGCGAACAAAGCGGACCGGGGCGATCGAGATTGAGTTGCCAGATAGACTCACAACTCTACCGGCAAGAGATCACCCTCCGGCCCTGGCTGTCTCGAGCAGATAGATCAACCTTTTGTGTGGCTTTGTCCCGGACCGTCTCCCTCGACATCCTGCATTATCCACCTCTTTTGGATCTGCAAGGAGGCCATCCCGTCTGTTCCTGGAATCAACAGCAGGACGGAGCAAAGGCAAGCAGGCTTGCAAAGGCGTATACACACGACAGTGAGCTACAACGCTACCTCTCGTCCCGGTCCCCGTCTTGCCTTGGCTGACGAGGTCACCGACACTGGTCAGAGTGTGGGTCCCGCCCCTTCGAAATCCGACCATCGATCGTCACCATATGTGAGTCTGTAGAGCCCGTGGCACAGCTAGACCGCTGTCTCGATCAGATGGCTTGAAGTGACTTCAGTTCATAAGCGGGACAGGGCCGGTGCCATATGAATAATAGCCAAGCCACGGCACGGGCCGTTTCGTCGTCTCTTTGACAAGACAGGACCGGGGACCAAGTTCGGGCCCCAGGTGGTCCGGTACGCCGTGCGCTTGCCCGTCGGCCGGGTCTCGAGTTCAGTACGCCCACATCTCGGTAAGTTGGTGGCCAAGCGGGCGTAGGACGGCGGGTGGTTATGTTACGTTACGTTGGATCCTGCTCAAACGCGCTCATCGGCGCAACACGAACAGGTACAGATCCCGAAGACGCTGAGCCGGGCGCCACGTCTGCTTAGCTTCCTCTTTCCGGACCGAGTCGAGGCGACAGCTCCGACAGAGTCAGGCTCAAAGTGACAGCAGCATGTACGTATGTGCAACGGCCGCAGTCCGGCCTGTCCGACGTGTGGTTGCTGAGCGGGTACGGTGGTGGTGATGAGTGTGAGACAGCGCAGCAGGCGGCAAGCTGCGGTCGGGGTACAGGCTGCCTGGAGCACCCAACGAGCCCCTCGTCGTACAGCAGCTGAGCTCCACGCTGCTCGCGCGAGCGAAGGTACGAGCGTGCGTGTCTGCTGCATGCAGGCGACGCCCAAATGCGGTGAGGCGGTGGCAACGATGCCGACAGAGGACAACGGGCGACAGGTAGGTAGATCGAAAGATGGCCCAGCGCAGGCCGCAGGCCGCAGGCAGCAGGCAGCAGGCCAAAAGTGGCCAACGCCGGCCGACACAACATCGACCGGCTCAGCTCCGCCCAGCCAGCCAACATTGTCGGGGCCGGTTGCCGCGATCTCACCACCATCTTTGGCCGGCCCCGCTTGCTTTATCCGGCAGAGACGGAGTGCAAAGCAGCAGCAACACCGCACAAACGCCGTCGAGATCGTCAACGACCCAGGCGTTGAGCCGCTCACGACAACACAACACCTACCCATCGCGAAGTCTTATTACATGAGCACATCATCTCAGATCGGAAGCGGGAAGAGTCACGGAGGCCAATCGGATTTGCACAGCGGCCACAGGATGGGAGGATGAGAGGATCAGGCAGTGTGGCGTTCGGTTCGGGCCGAGCTCGAGCGAGGAGAGCACGTACGAGCGGCGCTGCCCTCTTTTGACCCACGCGGAGCGTTGATAAGCAGGCCGGCGGTTTGTGGCCAACGAGACACTTCTGCCTGCCGCTGACGATCCCTATCATCCCAAGTCGCCGGGATGCCCTTTCAGCTTCGGCCGGAACGAGCCCATCTTGATCGTTCGGCCTCCACGGTCAAGAAGTAGCGAGGGCAGGTGCTCCTCGAACGAGCACATCGACAAGCAGGCTATGACCATACGACGTCTGGGTCGGCATCGCAAGCGAGAGCAATCTCGTTTCCGTATCGCCGTCTCCACCACGCACGGCTGCCATGTGCTTAGCTTCGCTCGCCTTAGCTTGGCTCTATCGAGCTTCTAGCTCGTCGCTTGCCCAACGAAACGTCCACGCCGCCTGCTTCTTCTCGTTTGACGCCCAAACCAGCAGGTCCCGGGATCGGCAGACGAGCCGTAGCCGGTCTCGGTTAAATTTCGACGTCTCGCGAGCTCACCCGACCGGCAAAGTGAGTGTGGCGGGCGGGCGAGCAGGTTGGCAGAGCGAGCCAGGGCCACCACCTCGCCGTCGCCATCCCCATCCCCATCACCTGGACTGCAGAGATGGGAATTCTACGAGATCACCGTCTTGCGGGAAGAGGTTTGCAGCCGCTGCAGACGTCAGCCTGGCGTGGGCACACCGCTCCTGGGCCGTCTTTTGTGGCCGTCACAGCCCGCTAAGCCACGTCGCGAGCTCACGGCGACTGCTGCGAACCAGCCGCAGCATGTTCCCGCTGTACGCTCGGGGCTCGACTCGACTTCGCAAACCCGCGACTTGCTGCAAACGGCCAGCCTTTCCCGCCACCTTTTGCTCAAAGGAGGCGCCAATCTGCCGCCATCTGCATACTTTAAGATTGGTCCTCCGCGTGCTCAGACCCTCGTCGGGCACCCAGCGACATGGTTATTGCGTAGCCACCTGCTCACCGCCTCACCAACATGAGCAGTAGCCGGTACAGATGACTGCATGTACATACAAATTGGCACTCTGAGCTGTATTGCGATGCGCATCTTCGTACACACGAGGGCCGAGAAGAAAGACGTCCGATCAATTGTGGCGTCGAAGCGGACACGGGTCGTTTGCTGCATAATTGTCTTCGTCTCGAGGACGCCGCGTCCAGCCGTCGGTGTCTTTCGATGTACATAAGCCCTTGCTCGAATGGTCGTTGATGTCCTCTCGACGCAATGGCCAACCCGTGAGTAGCTATCTGTGACAAGCCGATCAAGCGCCACTCTCTCTGTAGGTACCAAGATATGGGATTGCTCCTCGGTGTTTGACCATGCCGCGTGACGGGCATGCCCGACGAGCAACCCGAACCTACGACGGTCACTCTGCAGCCAGGAAATGCTCTGCAAGCCTCGGGAAAGAGATTGGCGATGCAGTGCTGGCTCATCCAAGCCGCACCGAGAACATCGCTCTTAGACAGAGATGCTGAGCCCACCCATGCCTCTACGATCTCCTCCCGGCAGACCATGCAGGGCGTGATGGCAGCCGAGTCCAAGCCGGTTGATCATCGGGAAACACTGGATCTACGAGGACGCCTGCTCGCCCATGGCATGCCTCCCGGGCACACGCGTTGGTCGAGATGGCTGATACCCTTGCCTGCCGTTGCACAGGGGCAGGAGCGGCCAAGCAGGGCAAGATCCCCCTCGGCAGGTCCGCGGAACCAACAAGGCTTGTTTCCCTGGCAACATTTCGCCAAGCCACCACCCACTATTTTGGGTACATACCGTAGAGACTCGAGGACAAAGAAAGAGTTAGGTAGGCCGCGGGCATGGCGAGCGAGCTGCTCGTAACTTTGTTCTCTTCTGTTGCTGGTTCAGCGGGCTGGCGATTCTCGCCATGGTGGCGTCGTTGACGAGCAAAGATCAACCGGCAGAGGCAGAGGCTAAGGCAGCACCGCCATGGCCGATGGATGAGCCTGGCCTCGTCGCGCCACCATGAACCACGTCGATGGTATCGTCACGACCGGGAGGCATCGGCGTCTTCGCTTCCCACGTCGCTCGCCGTTTGTCGTACTGTACAGTACCCCACTCGTCATATCGGCGAACCGGGTCGAGGATGGCGTGACGAGGGCATCCTGATGGTGGCATGACACCGGTACTGAGGTCGATCGACATGCTGTATGCATGGGGCACCACCCGTGCTGTCTCCCTCTTTCGACGCAACGAACAACCAAGCTCCAAGCGAGCATGCAGGCCGACGTACGGCGTGCTGTAGCCTCATCGAGCAGCACACGTCTTGCCTCCATACGCACGGCGCCGACGACGTTGTTCTCGGCTAGACGTCGCCTGCCACGCGGGTCTCGGGGGTGCTCGGTGAGCAGACAACGATGCCATGCGATGCGATGCGTTGTACACGCGCAGCCACGACGACGAGGCCGGGTCGGTGGGTGGCGCACCTCTGACGAGCCTCCTTTTGCGCCCTCATGCGTCGTTGGGATCGCGCAGCGGATGACAAACACATGATGCTGTATGGAAGAGCGAGACACCGTCGCTGCTTGACGAGCGGCGGGTGACGAGGTTTGTGCTGGACCGGCCAGTTGATGCCTCGCCGCCTTTGCCGGCGACGGCCAGATGCCCCTCGCCCCCGTGTTACCCAGTTGCTCCGGGACGGTGCGGTGCGGTATCGTCGTTCGTCTCGACATCAACGCGGCCCCTTTGACACTCCCGAGGGAAAGGTACGGAGGTGGCTTTGCGGGTCTCCCGAGCGCGTCGGGCGACAACCATGCGGAGATCGTCTGGTGCCTTTGCAATCGAGGGGTCGTCGCTACGTCGGCAGCAAGAATGCGACATGGTGGGTGCTCAAGTTCACCAGGACTGGCTCAGGGGACATACGGCCTGACCATGGCTATGGCCGTTGCAACCCACCCCCGCGATTGAACCCGCTCGCCGCTCGAGATCGCCGCAATCGCCACCGGCACCAGGTGAAAGCGTCGACGCAGCAGGATGAGAGGGAGCTCCTTGCGAAACAGGGCAACGCCGTCTCTCTCCGCTCGAAAATTGATCTTCCCGCCAGAAACCGCATCGCAGCTCCGACCCAGGACAGGAGGTGAGGGGTCATGGGAAGGGCCAACTGGTATGCCGACCGGGATACGAATCAACGGCGAGCTGGAATGTCATCGAGCCAGAGACGGCGTCGGCGGTGGCGGACAAGTCCCACCAACATCCCGACACATAGGTCCCAGGGGGTTGGTTCGATCAGGGACTTCTGGGCGCGATCCCGATGCATAGCAAACCGGCCCGCAGTGAGGAGATCGGATGCCCAAGACGAGATTGACTTCTGGACCTCCGCAGCCCTGCACTGTCTCTCTCTGTCTCCTCGCTCGCCCCGGCGTGAAGCTGCGATGCGATCGAGTTCAGGTACAAGAACGACGTCGGCGACGACCGGCGAGAATCCAGGCACAACAATAATCAAGCAGCGAGGGGAGAACACACACACACATACGAAGATTCAATAAAGGCAAGGGGGCGGACCGCGGACCTGGGCACCAGAGCGAGCTGCCATTCCACGCCTCGTGGCAGCGCAGCGGAGCGCCTCGTTCGCCCATTCCCTCGTGGCGGTGTCCCGCATCGCGGCTGGGGATCCACGGAGGCAAGCCCGCGCCGCGGCACTGGTCCCGATGCTGCGGCGGGCACTTTGCTGCTTGGTCGTACGCAAGCCAAGGCAGAGGGCTGCGGGCAGCCGGTCGGGACCCAGAGCTGCCAGGGGGCGTTGGAGGCGTAAAGGCGCGGTGGTCGGGTGTGGTTTTGGTACCCTGTACCTGGCCTAGCCTGCTTGCTTGCTGGGCTGGTGCGAAAATTGCGCGCGGCATGAGGCTCTCAAAACGTGGCTTGCAGACGGGCGGGTAATCAGCCAGCAGAGCGTGAGAGACGAACGGCGACGGGCGTCTCGTCTGTCATCGAGCAAGGACCACCCTCGTCGTCGTCGTCGTCGTCGTGCGTGTGCCTGGACGGTGGAAGTGGCCCTCGCCATCGTCGGCGCTCGTCCGCGCGGTCATCTAGCTGGCCTGGCGTGGCCGGTCCATCTCGCCGATCCAGACGATGCCTGCGTGGGCCCGCGCGGGTGCCATCCCATCGTCGGCCTCCGGATGGCGTCGGTGCGACCGTACGTGTGTCCCTCAGGATCGAGGGTCAGCCTTGACGAGGCCAATGCATCGCTCGCTGTGGAAAGGAGAAAGCTGTGAGCGGCGGCGATGCGGGCTAACGAGGCGGGCAAGACGAGCGACTTCCTAGCTGCTTGATAGGTCGTCGGTCGGCAAACGGGAGGCGGGTAGCGGAAGAAGACCCTCTCCACGCTCGCTTTCGCCCTTCGCCCTTTTTGACGGCCATTTCTGTGGTGACAAATTAGAAGAATCCGCCCGCCCCCCGCTCGCAGCCAACACCCGCCACCACCACCACCACCACCGTGACCGTGTCTTTGCTGGACCTCAAAAGGCGGAGCGTCCACTCTTTCTAGGCCCACATCGGTCGTCTACTGCTCCTCGGCTGACCTCTCGGCGAAGCGCGCACAGATCCAACATGCTGGCCACCTCCGCGCGTCGTCGCCTCGCCTTGGCGGCCCTGGCTCGCTCGGGCGGACCAAAATCCCTCGCCTCCTACCTCGAGGCCGCCACCTTGCCCGGCTACGGCATCGCCGCTCTCCCGTCACGATCCTACAGCTCCAGAAACGGCGATAGCGCTCAGAACAACGCAGAGCAGAGCGGCCGAAACGCCGCCGAGAGCGCAGACAAGCCGCGCATCTTTCCGACGTCTCGGGCGTCCATCCGGCCCAACCCGCACGCCGCCCCTCTCTTCGCCAACACCAAGAGGACATCTCGACGCGATGGCAGCGAACGAGGCTCGTCCGCTTCTCCGCAAACGCCCACTGCCTCTCGATCCAGGGAGCTGCTGACGCTGCGCAACTCGACCACCGACCCGGCCCTCAAGCAGCTTTACACCGAGCTCGGCATCGCAGTCGATCGCAACAACGTGGCCGGCGCCATCGACATCTGCGCCAGCATCAGCAGCCATGTCGCCGAGAGTCCCTCGTCGTCCTCTGCTCCCGCCCTGCTGCCCGAGGATAGCCTACGCGGCGTCTACCATCTGCTGCTCCAGTGCTTTGCCCACAACGCCATGCTCGACGAGGCCATGGGCGTCCTGACCGATATGGAACGCTGCGACGTCTCCCCGAATGTGGAGACGCTCAACCACGTCCTCAGGGCGGCGGTGCTGGTCGGAGACGAGGAGGCCATCGATGCCATGCTCTCGCGGATACGCCAGCTGCCCAGCATCGCCCGCCCGGTGGCGCCATCTCCAACGCCCGCCGCACGGCGTATCAAAGGCAGCAACACCCTGCAGGCCGCCAAGGACCTCTTTTTCGCCAGCCCTTCATCCCGAGCGAGCAGCGTCGAGCCTGCTGCCCCTGCGCGAGCGCCGATTTCCCCCCTCGGCGCCGAATTCACGCGCAACTGGACCTCGGCCACGTATCAGCACATGATCCTCTCGGCCAAGGCGTCGCACAACGCCGAATTCTGCCTGGCACTGATGGCGGCGTGCCTCCGCGACGGCGTCGCACTCGAGCACGAGGCGCTGCGCAACGTCATCGCCGTCTGCCTACACGTGCGCGAGTTCCGGCTGGCCGCCGAGCTGGCCAACGAGGCCGAGCGGGGTGGGCTGCGGGATCACAGCGAGGAGGCTTCGTCCTCGGGCACTGTCTCGCGCCGGCTTCCGCCGAGCCTGTGGATGAAGATCCTGCGCGCGTGTGTCGATGGTGGCTACATGCCCGGGATCGAGCTGGCGTGGCAGAAGGCCGTCGTCGACGGCCTGCTTGTGCCCGAGGAAGGGCTGGTCCTGGGCGCGCTCAATGCGGCGTCGAGGGACGGCTGCGCGCCGTTCTGCCTCGTCATGCTGCGGCACCTCTTCCCGGGCATCGACGACCTGCTGCGGACCGGCCGCTCGGGCGCCAAAGGCTCTGCCCTGGCCGCAGGTGGGATCCTGCACGAGTGGCACCTATCGCCGCTGTTTGAGGCCCAGTGCAGGAACCACGAGTACGGCGAGGCGATCAAGACGCTCTCAATCATGAAGCGGCTGGGCCACCCGATGTCGGAGAGCATGAGCGCCTGGATGTCGGCGGGCTGCTACCAGGACAAGGACATGCTGGACCGCGCGGTCAAAGGGCTGCTTTCGCTCGGCCGCAACCGCGACTTTGGGGTCAGCACGTTTGCCGTCAACGCCGTCATCGGCGCGGCGGTGTGGAACGGCAACATGGACCTGGCCATGTCGATCTACGAAGCCAGCTGGGATCTTTTCGACGCAGACCAGTCGAATCGCGCCGGGGGCGGTGCGGCCGATGTGGTGCCGATGCACAAGAAGGCGCAGGGCAAGGCGTCGAAGTCGGTCGAGAAGAGGAAGGATCAGCAAGACGCGCTCCAGGCGAAGCAGCCGCAGCGGCCGGAGGTGCAGGACGGCGGGGTCCGTGTGCGACCGGATCTGGGCACGTTCCATCACCTCTTCTCTGGGTGCATCGACATCAAGGACCGCGACCTGGGCGGGCGTCTGATTGCGGACCTCAACGCGCTGTCGCTGCAGCCTACGGTGCTGACGTACGAGCGGCTGGTGCTGCTGTGCCTGACGCAGGACTCGTACGAGGACGCGTTTGGGTTCATGGAGCAGGCCAAGGTGAATGGGCTGCGCCCGAGCCGCAAGAGCTACGAGGGCATTCTGCGCAAGTGCTTTAGCGTCAACGACGAGCGGTGGAGGCTGGCGCTCGAGGATATGAAGGAGGCCAAGATGTACCCGAACCGCAGCCTCTGCCGCCAGCTGGGCATCGAGGAGCAGGTGTGGTGGCCCAAGGGGACGGCTGCCGCGATGCCGCGGCGAGTCTAGGCGACGGCGAGTGGATGGGGCGTGGATGGCAATGCGAAAGAGCCTCGATGGGCTCGCCGGCCTCTTACTACTGACGTTGGTCGGACAGAGCGAAGGTGTGTGTACGCCGTGCCGACTGCCGACTGCGGCTGTCTGTCCGTACGTCTGGCGTCCGTCTCGCCTGGCCGGGGCGCGCCGAGGTGGCCCTCGTCTTGCTGGCTGCTGCTGCGATGGACAGGCCAGGTCTTTCTCTCTATCTGATCCGAGCGAGGCGCGGCGACCCAAAGAGGCCGACATGGTCCGAGCACGCGGGCCGGACGACGCGGCTTCGAGCGCCTCGAAAGTGGAGTAAAGTCGGAAGAGGCAGCGGCCATCGCACCCTCCTCCCTCTTCAGCACCATCACCCCTTCACCGCACTACCTCCTATCGCCCACGTATTCCTCGACAATCTCAACCTCTCACTGCCCCCCTTAGCATCGCATTCACTTCACACCAGCCCCGCGGCACACTCACGCTCAGCTGCGCCTCACCAGCTCGTCGCCGCCGCCGCCGCGCCTCCTTTCGTCTCCGTCTTGGATCCACGACGCCTAGCAGCCATGCCGACCCAGTAGCCATCGTCGGTTGCTCCCTTATCTCTCCCTCTGCGCACTCGAGGCAGCTGCCGACGTCCTCCCTGGTCGAAGCTCGACCGTCTTGGCAAGGCGTGGCGCCCTGCCTCGTCGTCGCGCTCACCATGTCGTTTGTCAAGGCACCTCTGCGCTACCTCTTCAATAAGTCAGTCGAGGCCGCCTTCAACACTTCGGCATCCTCCCCCGCCTCTTCCACCGCCGGCCCTTCGGTCGTCGACGCAGACACCCAGTCCGACGATGCCGCCTTCTACCGGCAGCACCAGCCTGGCTTCTCCCAGAATCCCGCATCGCGCCACGCTCACAACGCCGTAGGCGGCAGGTTCAAGCCCCAGTACACTGCCCCTCTCCACCACCCTCACGACGATGCGGAAGCGCAGAGGCTCTACAACCACATACGCACCGTCGCCTGGTATCTCGATGCGTTGCCCCTCCTCGGCAAGGGCCTGCCCTTCAACCTCGGCGTCGATGTGAGTACGGATCCTGCGCCTCGCCTGGCCCATCACAACGTCAAGCTGACTGCGTCCCACCGCTCTTTCTGATGCTTCAATTCAACCCCTGCAGTCCATCTTGGGCTTCATTCCGGGCCTCGGAGACTACCTCGGCCTCCTGCTCGGCGTGTACCAGATCTATCTCTGTTCGCTCTTTGGCCTGCCGATCCAGGTGCTGGCCTGGATGGTACTCAACGTCATCATCGACTGCTTCCTCGGGCTCATCCCCCTCGTCGGCGACCTCCTCGACGTCGCCTTCAAGGCCAACTTGCGCAACCTCAAGTTCTTCGAGGACCACCTACGCCAGACACGTGGCAAGTGCGGCGCCGGCCACTTTTACCTCGAGTTCCCTTCCAACGGATCCTTCATCCCGGCGCGCGACAGGGGCCAGCGGTCTGGAGGCTGGTTCAGCTGGCTGACTGGCAAAGTGCCCCAAAGGCAGGAAGGCAGCACACAAGCCCGAAGCACAGCCACTGCCGCCTACTCGATGCCGGCCGACACTTCTTCGGCCTATCGGCGGCGCGCTGGACCATCTCCAGCAGCTGGACAATCGGCTTCATGGAGTGATGGCCCGCCTGCCGTGCCGCTGGCGCTGCCAAGATCGCTGGCCACGCAGGTTGACGATGCCCTTGCGGAAGCCCACGCACGGACCGATATCGGGATAGGGGCCGAGCTGAGCCCTACCAACGAGGAGAGCTCCGCCGAGGCGCAAGCAAAGGACGAAGTCGAAGGCTATTCGATACCGGATGCCCCGGTTGAACAGTCAAACACATCACAGCATGCCACCGAACCGCAAGCACTCGCCCCTGGCAGGCTCCGCTCCGCCCCCTCCTTCGAGTCGCTCGAGGTCGAAGAACCGCAAGGCGCGAGCAGGAGGCTGCACAGTCCAGGAGCATCGGCTGTGATGGCGACTTCGCCGGGAGTCGTCTGCCCGACTGCCTCGATCGACGCCGAGTGGTTTGTCAGCACTTCTCCCGAGGAGCGAAAGGGCAGCGCCATGCGAGAAGGCACGCAGCAGCGACATAGGGACCGCTACGACAGCGTGTCGGACGCCGGATTTCGCAGCGAAGACGACTACCTCGCCGGCACCAGCCCCGAGTCGGTCGCGGTGCATCGACGCGGCCACGACCCCTTTCTCGACCTCGGTGTGGGGTCGGCCCGCTCTTCGCTGTCGCAAAGCCGCCGAGCAGGATCCCGGAGTGATGCCACCCAGGCTTCGGGCCTGAGGGCCGCCAGCAGCTCGAAGAAGCAGTGTCCGTCTGCGCCGGACCTCTCGGACGACTTCAAGTCCGGCGGCAAAGCCCCGCAGCGCTCCTCGAGCCAGCAAGGACGCCGCAACGTCTCGTGGCACGAAAGCCTATCGCGTCCACGCAGCAAGCAGCAGCATCACAACCCCTTCTTCGAGCAGGACGAGGAGCAAGGCGACGCAGACACAGTGACGGCGCGAAGCAGCAGCGGCCTGGCGTCGCGGCGCGATCGGCGGGCGGCCGAGACGCGGGCGCAGTGGCGGCGGCGGCGGACGATGTACTTTGTCGTCTACTCGGCCATCTTCTGCGTCGCCTACATCACCTCGCTAGACGCCAACACGGGCTACCTCTACCTCAACTTCGCCTGCAGCGAGTACGGAGCGCTGGCGTCGTTCAGCACGGTGGCTATCGTGCAGCAAATGATCTTCGCGGTGGCCAAGCCGCCGATTGCCAAGCTGTCGGACGTCTTTGGCCGCGCCGAGGCCTACGTCCTCTCGCTGGTGCTCTACGTGTCGGGCTACGCCATCGTGGCATCGACGCGCAGCCTGCGCTCCCTCATCGGCGGCATCTGCCTGCAGTCGGCGGGCAACACGGGTGTCCAGGTGCTGCAGAGCATCATCATCGCCGACACCACCACCGCCAAGTGGCGCGGCCTGGTCATCGGCATCGTCAACCTGCCCTACCTGATCAACTTTGCCGTGGCCGGACCCCTGGTCGACGCGGTGATGCGCAACGGCAGCTGGAGGCTGGGCTACGCAATGTGGACGGTGCTGGTGCCGCTGGCTGCTACGCCGCTCCTCGTCACGCTGGCCGTCGGGCAGCGGCGAGCACGGCGGGCAGGCCTGGCCACGCGAAACCCGCTGACGGGCAAGGGGTGGACCGAGGCGGCGCGCGAGCTGGCGCGCGAGCTCGACGCCGTCGGCCTGCTCCTCTTCACGGGCGGCTGGATGCTGATCCTGCTGCCACTCACCCTGGCGGGGCATGGCGAACGGTCCGAGGGCGTGCCGCCGGTGCTCCTCTTTGTCGTCGGTGCGGCGCTGCTGGCGGGCTTCTGCTGGTGGGAAACCAAGGCGACGGCGCCCATCCTGCCGTACCAGTTTCTCGCCAACCGCGCCGTCATCTGCGTCTGTGTCGTTGGCATCCTCGACTTTGCCTCGTTCTACATTTCCTGGACGTTTCTGTCGGCCTTCATCCAGATCCTCAAAGGGTGGGACCAGACGCGGACGGGCTACTTTGCCACGACGCAGAACGTCACGTCGACGGTGACGGGCATCGTCGTGGGCTCGCTGATGGCCATGACGCGGCGGTTCAAGACGCTCCTGGTCGGCGGGCTGGTGATCCGGCTGGTGGGGGTGTCGATGATGATCCGGTATCGCAACGCCGACGACTCGACGTGGATGCTGGTGCTCTGCCAGCTGCTGCAGGGCATCGGGGGCGGGTCGATCGCCATCACGATGCAAGTGGCGGTCCAGGTGACGGTGCGGCATTCGGACGTGGCCATCGTCACGGCCCTCGAGCTGCTCACGACCGAGATCGGGGCGGCCATGGGCAGCGCGACGGCGGGGTGGATGCTCAAGTCGTACCTTCCCGCCGCGCTCGCTGCGCACCTGCCGGGCATGGAGAGGGAGGAGCTCGACGCCGTGTACGGCTCGCTGCAGGCGGCGCTCAAGTACCCGATCGGGTCGGCGGAGCGCTCGGGCATCATTGCCGCCTGGGTCCAAGTGATGCGCTACCTCTGCATCACCGCCACCCTCGCACTGCTGCCCGCCCTCTTTTTCGGCATCGCCATCCCCGACACCCACCTCCCAGACGTCCACGGTGCTGCAGCGGCAGGCTCAGTCGGGGCCACGGGTGCGGGCGGCGCATCATCGCACAATCACCATTCGGGCGGATCCTACCACGCTCGCACCAAGCGGTCGTCGAGGTCCACGTCGAGGTCGAGATCCAGGTCGAGAACGGGTCACGCGCATGCGGCATCGCACTCGGCCTCTGTATCGCCGGCGCTGACGAGGGAGACGAGGTCATCCTGGCTCGACGGCGACGGCGACGGCGACGGCGTCGATGACGAGCAAAATGTCGACGAGACTAGAGGGACCCGGAAGGAAGCGGACGAACGCAGACCGCTCCTCGCTTAGCCGCACTCCTCCGGCACGGGACGAGATGGGACGAGGCGGCATACGATTACTCAACGACCGGACATTCACGCAGGCAAGCAGGCACAGCCATACAACGAACGCAAGGAAACCCTTCGAGGGAACATTAATGCATATCATCATCGATTTCGACGACGACGGCGGCGGCGCGAGCAGATTGAGCATTTGAGATTGAGCACGGCAAGGGAAAGAGGAGCGAGGTGCAGCTGACATCCAGCAGATTGTCCATGGGAAGAAGGGCTCGGCAGGAAGGTCAAGGAGCGGACGACGACTACTACGACGACGACGCCGTTCTTCAGAGACCGAGGCGCTCCAAAAACATGCTGGCGAACCAGTCGACGCCGGGCGTCTCGACGACGACATTGACCAGTCCGACTGGATCCTCGTCGTCGGCCTTGCCGTTCTGCCGTGCCTTTTTGGCGTCGACGCCGTTGCTGCCCGTGGCCGAGTGCGACGGCTCGTCGACCTTGGCGATGACGCGCTCGGCGTGCGGGTCGTCGAGGGCCTTGTTGAGGCCGGCGAGGTTGTTGAGCCCCCTCCGGTCCACGACGCACATGCCCCGCGTCACGTCGCCGCTGCACTCGACCCTGAACCTCCTCAGGCTGTGCTTCCACCCTGCGCCAGCGCCACCAGCTTCCTGCTGCTGCTGCTGCTGCTGCGACGAGGGACCGACGACGGGCACAAAGACGGCGTGGGCGACGGCGAGCGGGTCGTGGGCCTGGAAGAGGTCGTGCTTGTCGGGGTGGAACTCTTCTGGCGTGGCATAGCCGTTGGTCACCATGCGTGGGTGGGTGAGGAAGGTCGAGATGTAGCGTTCCAGTACGCTCGGATGCGTCGTGCGTTCCAGCTCGGCCTCGGCCTGCGGATCGACGGAGCAGCCGTGCGGCGCCGTGACGAGGCGGCTGTAGGGGATGGTGTGGTAGCTGGTGATGTCGAGCGGGATCAGGTCGATAGGCAGGCGCCGTCCGTTGAGAGCAGGGTCGAGGGGCGCCTCCTCGAACAGAAACCGGGCCGCCCAGGGGTCGGCAAAGGTGTTGAACTCGGCCACGGCCGACGTGTTGCCGGGCACGTCTAGCGCACAGCCCATGACCGAGATGCCGCCGACGCGGGCAAAAGTGGCGGGGTCCTGCTGGCACGCCAGGGCGAGGTTGGTGAGGGGTCCGAGAGCGGCAATGCGGACGGTGCCCTCCGGCTGCTCCCTCAGCACATCGAGCATGACCTGGCTGGCCGACCTGTCCGTCGGCGCAAACGGCAAGGGCGGCGAAGACGGGGCGGGGAAAGGGTCGTCGGGCAGAGAGTGCAGGCCGCTCAGTCCGTCGCGCCCGTGGAAGTAGCTGGCAGTGAATCTCTGTCCACCCAGCGGCTGCTCGGCGCCGAGAGCGACGAGGATGGGTTCGGCGTCGGGGCGGAACGAGACGAAGCGGTCCTTGACCTGCTGGGGCGTCGAGGCGTCCGAGAGGTGCTGCTGCAGCACCGCGCCCGTCCGCAGCACGTTCGAGTAGGCATAGTCGAGCGTCGTGTTGCCAAAGGTGAGCGTGAGGGCCTTGACCGAGACCTCGGGAGAGGCGAGTGCGAGGAGAATGGCCAGCACGTCGTCGACGCCCGGGTCCGTGTCGATGATGAGAGGCGTGGGCATGATGTGTAAGAGAGGCCAGGCAAAGCGCAGCGGTGGGGGTTCTGAGCGGTCCTGAGATTATCGCTCTAGAGCTTCGAGAGAGCAAGGGGCTGTATGATGTTGGTGGTGGTGGTGATGGTGGGGATGGGGGCCGTGGCCGTGGTGCCGATGTCGAGGATGCCGGTCGGGGGCGAGGACGAGAAGATCGAGCGCACCGGCCAAGTCCGATGCCAACGGGCTTCCCCCGGCTACCCGCGGCTGCAGCACCGGTCTCCATCCCGGCCATTTCTTCCAGCCAGACGGCAGCAGGGTCGCCCATCAAAGCCGCGCCTCCCCCTTCCCCGCAGGTCCGATCGCCTTTCGCTCGTGCCCTTCTGCCCCTCTCACACATGCCATCTGCACAGCCAACACGCAATCACACCGATGGAATCGTCTCGAGTCGTCGTTCCTTCCTCGTCTCTACAGAAAGCGTCAGAGCAGAAAAGAGTCTAGGGGTTTGCAGCGCGGAGTCCGGCATGCACCCTCTCTACTTCTTGAGCCAGAGCGAGACAAAGTCCTGAACGGGGAGCGCCGTGAGCGACTTGTGGTCGGTCAGGAGCGACACGAGCTTGTCGCTCGTCTGCTGGTCAAAGTGGCCCTGGAGGTGCTTCTCGAGCTTGGCCTTGATCAGCGGGACGGCCTCGTCGCGGCGGCGGGCGTGGCCGACGGGGTAGTCGACCGAGACCTCGTCGAGGACGGTGCCGTCGTTGAACTCGACAGTGACGGCGTTGCCAATCGAGCGCTTCTCGGGGTCGAGGTACTCGGTGGTGAAGCGCGGCTCCTCGGACACCTCCATCTTGTTGCGCAGCTCGTCGATGCGCGGGTCCTGGGCGGCCTCGTCCGAGTAGTCCTCGGGGTTGAGCTTGCCGTTGAGCAGCGAGACGGCGGCAATGTACTGCAGCGAGTGGTCGCGGTCGGCGTAGTTGTTGAGCTTGCCCGACTTGGAGATGATGCGAACGGCGGCCTCCTGGGTCCTGATCGTCACCTTCTTGATGTCGTCAGTCGACTTGCCCAGCTTCTTGATCTCGTTGTGCAGCTTGATCGAGGCCTCGACCGCCGTCTGCGAGTGGAACTCGGCGGGGACCAGCTTGAACAGCACGTTCTCCATGACGTACGACGTGTAGGGGCGCTGGAACTTGAACTCCTTGCCCTTGAACAGGACGTCGTAGAAGCCCCAGGTCTTGGCCGTCAGGACCGAGTTGTAGCCGCCCTCGCCCTTCTTGACGAGCAGCGCAAGGTTGACGGCGCGCGAGCAGGCGTCACCGGCGGCCCACGACTTGCGCGAACCGGCGTTGGGGGCGTGGCGGTAGGTACGCAGCGACTGACCGTCAACGAACGCCTGCGAGACGACGTCGACAGTCTGGTCGCGCGTGTTGCCGAGCAGCTTCGAGACAACGGCGGCCGAGGCAACCTTGACCAGGACAACGTGGTCAAGGCCAACACGGTTGAACGAGTTCTCGATGGCGAGGTTGCCCTGGATCTCGTGGGCCTGGATGGCGGCGGTGAGGACATCCTGGACAGTCAGGGGAGCCTTGCCGTTGGCCACGTTGGTGCGGCTGATCCAGTCGGCGACCGACAGGATGGAGCCGAGGTTGTCCGAGGGGTGGCCCCACTCGGCGGCGAGCCAGGTGTCGTTGAAGTCGAGCCATCGGATCAGGGCGCCGTTGTTGAAGGCGGCCCGGATGGGGTCAAGCTCGAAGTTGGTGCCGATCACACGGGCACCGTTGGGGACGACGGTTCCCTCGACAACGGGGCCGCAGATGGCGGCAGCCTGGGGGAACTTGAGCGCCTCCATGGCGCATCCCAACGAGTCGAGCAGGCAGAGGCGGGCGGTGTCGTAGGCCTTCTGCGAGGTGATCTCGTAGTTGTGCACGTACTGCAGGGTGACGGGGAGATGGGCAGCAACAAGGAATCGGATTCCAGAGGATCAGCTCCCTGGAAGCGTCGGTCGGCCAGCTCGCAGCGAAGCTCAAAGTTCTCCGCTGAACATGACCGCGCTACTCACGTCGGCAATGTCCTGGAGGACCCTGATCGACACAAGAGCACGAGGCGGAAGGGAAGGATGCGCCGCAGAGCAGAGGGAGCGTCAGTCGTGCTTGTTCCCGGCTGCAGGCGACCCTCTTCTGAAGGCGACTCTGATTATCCGCCGCTGGCATCCGAAAGCCCTTTCTTTCGAAGGCAACGAATATTGGCAGAGGATCGGCAGCGCAGCACAACTCACTGGTCAGGAGGGGGTCGGACATTGTCCTCGCCCTTTCCGATACCGGCGTGGCCAGCCATGTTCCTGGCAGAGGTGGAGAAGGCGGCGGAGGCGAGCTTGGAGGCGGGGGCCTTGGCGATGCTCTGCTTCTGGGCAGCGGCGTTGCGGAGGGCGACGGCGGAAGCTCGGGGGACCGAGGTGGAGATCGAGCGAGTCGAGGTGGTGCGGAGGGTGGATGCGAGGCTAGAGGCAGAAACAAGACGAGGCATCTGCGGTTCGCGGAGGCGTTCGGGATTTTCGAGGTGGGCAGGAATGAAGCAGCAGCAGGAGAGCCGGGGGACATCAGGCGGCACAAAGGCACAGAGGGAAACAGGCGAGCGTGATCAGCTACCTCGTCCTCTCAAACGCCCGAACTTCCGCGAGACAGCCTCGCTGCGATCAGCGACCAAGGCTGCCACCTTGACTGCGATGCTCCTCGTCGTCATCGGCGACCAGCGCAGAGTAGGGCAGGGAGCGGCAGGAAGCGGCAGCAAGGGTTGCGCAAGGAAGGGGGGCAGAGCAACTCACGATCTGTGAAGGAGCTTTCCACAAGCTGGGTTAGGCGGGGGAAAGAGGAGCGGTGTGAAGGAGCGAGGATGGTTGGTGGTGGGAGAAGGGAAAGAAAAGAGCGACGGCGGGGGCCGGGTCCAAGAAGAAGAAGCGGAGCGCTCGCAGGCTGAGCGAGCGAGCGACGACGGACGACGAAGGAGCGCCTCGGCGCAAGCGAGGAGGGGGCGCGGGGGGCCCGTCTGCCCGCGGCTGGCTTTGCCCCAGACCATCGGCGGGCGGCCGTCAGCCAGCGGCGGGGCCGCTGCGTCGGATGAACCGGGTCGGGGCGATGCCAGCGCCCTCCGCATTCGCTCGTCCCATCGGCGATTGCCCCGACCGACGCTGCCGCCAACGCCCGCCGTGTCGTTGCCTCCAGGCCCCAGTCGTCGTCGTCGTCGGCTTGCAGGCCAGGCCTCGCTCGAAGGCCGCTCCTTGCGCCATTTGGAAGATCACATCTCGTCTCGTTTCCCTCTGCTCGCTGGCCGGGATGGCGAATCGGGCGAGCCGGCGGCGCTTGGACCATGCCAGGCTGCCGGTAGCACGCTGTGGATCCCAGACTCGTTTTTCCTGGTTCCTCCAGACGGCCTTCCGACGACTTCTCCTCGTCCTCCTCGTCGTCCCTTCATCAACCATGTTCGTTTCTCCTATAGCACGCTATCGGGCGATGACGGCGATCCTGTCCAGGTAGGGCATCTAGAGGGTCAGAAGGGGGACCGACGTTGGGGAGGGTCAAAGCGAGCGGAGCGCCGCGGTTGAGCGGCAGCCGCACGCACGTCCGCGTGAAATGATGGGCCGGGCCTGCCTGCGTCTCTGGCCGCCAAGCAAGCAGACCTTCGAGGCAGGGGTCCCTTGAAAACCGCTTGAGCCGAGCAGCTGCCCCCGCGCACGCCCGTGATCGGAGGGCTGGACTGAAAGCCCCGCAAACTTGGCCTGCCCGCCTTTCAGCCCGCAAGGCCGAATCTGGAACCGGCTCAACGGTCAACTTCAGACGCCGGCTGCCGCCTTTGCTCGTCTTCTTCTCGGACCCTCCATCTCGCTCGTGCTTCGTTGCCTCTTGCCCTGCTTGGTCCCCATCGTCCCGAACAGAGGGCCGACCCCTCTCCCCCGTCGAGATCCGCTCCGCGGGTCCGCACAAGCTTGCCTGCCATCTTATCAGATCGGAAATGAGGATTCTGGTGCAGATCTTCCAGCCCTCTTTCATGCTCACGAGGGCCCGGCCCGGCAAGGCTCGAGCGGGTTTAGGCGCCAAGCCAGCAGCCGGCCCCACTCGTCCGGGACTCGCGCGGCCCCAAAGCGCGATCGCGGCGAAGAGTTCAGTCCCACGACAGTCCGTCCCTGTTTTGGCTGACCGTACAAGTACAACAGATAAGCGTGACGGCGGAAACATGTATCAGGAGCGAGCGGCGCTGGCGCAGCTGTCGAGCGGCGAGGCGGGGCGGGGCGATGCTAGGACAGGACCGGAAGGAACTGCGACGAGCGAGAGCAGAGAGCTTGCGGCAAAGTCAGCAGACGCTTCACGCATGCAGAGGCTCCGAGCTGCGACTTTGAGCCAACGACGGCGCCACTCACATTGCCTACAACCAGGCTGGGGAGGTCAAAGATGTCGCGCTTGATGGTAAACGACCACGCGCACGGCACCGGCTTGCCCTGCGGCGTCATGAGCGTGCACGTCGTCACTGCAGAGGCAGGAGCGAAGGGAGGTGAGGGGTACGGCGTCAGCTCGGACGGACCTCGAGCGAGAGCTGGGCCTCGGACAAAAGGATCAGACACTCACTGACGGACTGGGTCGTGTTCTCAAAGGCGTGCAGCGCAAACTTTTCCCTGCGATGCCACAGAATCAGCAGATGCGCCGCAGCACTCGGACGAAAGATCAGCCTCTTTTCCCGTGCAATGCTCGCCGTGCACGCAGCTCCAGCGAGGGACAACTCACCAGTAGTCGAGCATCGAGCTCTTGTCCATGAACTCGTAGATGTACCGCCCCAACAGCTCCTCGCGCGACCACTGCGTCAGCATGCAGAACTCGGCGCCCACGACGCAGATCTCGCACGTCCGGCGCCACACGACGGTCGGCGTGCCTGAGAACGAGATGAGCTTCTCGAACTCCTGTTGAAAGGCAAAAGAGGCGTCAGGATCGAAGATGGGGGCTGTCAGACCGGCGCGCGCAGAGGAGAAAATGCGACCAGGTGAGCGCCCCGACTGACCAGTATCGTCCTTTGGAAGGAGCGCTCCACGAAAATCTCGTCCTCCTCGGTCAGGGGCATCTGCAGGGCGATGAGCGATGGCCGGAAGATGGCCAGGGCCCGAACCACCCGCAGCACGTCCTGCTTGCCGAACCTGCACGAATCGAGACCAGGGACGATGGGTTAGCGCACGCGTCAAAAGTCGCCACCGAGCGGTCGACGACTGCCACCCGCAGCACTCACTTCTCCGTGGCGTACTTGATGAGAAAGTGGTAGCCTTCGGGATACGGGAACGGCTTGGTGCTGTCGCGATAGACTTTGGCGACCCGTGCCTTCCAGAGGCTGTCCTGCTGCAGCCGCTGGTTGCGCCTCGAGGCGATCGCCTTGTTGATGTCTGGAAGCGGCTCGTTGGAGAGCGAGCGGTTGGCCGAGTACGTGTCCGAGGCAGCGCCCGTCACGCTCGAGCCGCCAGCAGGAGGTAGGGCACCGCTGTCGAAGGCCGTGTCGCCGCCGATAGCGGCAGCCTGCTCGACAGAGGCAGGTGCCGGCAGGCTCGACTGGTCAGCCTCGTACCCGCCGAGGCCAGTCGTGGCCATGGCGGTGGTCGACGCGGCGGTCCCGCCGTCAAACGGTGCTGGTCTGCTTGCCGCCGGCGATGGCACCTCGAGCGCAGTGAAGCCGGCATCGGTCGTCGGTAGCTCAGACAGGATGGCGCCGCCGCCGCCGGCACCAACGCCCGAGGCAAAGTCGGGCGAAGTGGCAGAGAGGCCGGTCGGATCGTTGTAGGCCGACAGCGTGTCGAGAGCACCGGCGCTGCTACCTAGGATTGCGTCAAAACTCGTGGCCGAGCTGATGGCAGGCTTGTTCCAGCCGTTGACGCCCGTGATGCTTCCGTACTCGCCAATGTTGTCGAGGATGCCCATCGCCGGGCTTGTCTGGAAGTCTGGCGAGTCGGTGCCCGACCCGAGCAGGGCCAGATCTGTGCCGTTGAGCATCGACGACAGAATCGAGTACTCGAGCGACGTCGCCTCTGAACCAAAGTTGTGCGTCGGGTCAAAGGCCAGCTCAAAGGCTGGCTCTGACTGGTGAGAGGCTGCGCTCTGCCCAGAGTCGAAATGGCTCGAAAGCACGTCATTGGCCGGGCTGGCGTCTGCGTTGCCGCTGACCGGCGGCTGCTGGGCTTCGACGGGGCCGGTGCCGACATACGGCTTGTCGAGAGGCGGGCCAGATGGAGGAGCAGGTATTTGTGCGGCGCTCGGTGCGGCTGGGGCCTGCAGCTGCTGTGGCTGCTGTGGCTGTTGTTGTTGCTGCTGCTGTTGTTGTTGCAGCTTGGCCTTCTTCCGCTCGGCCGCCTTGACCGCCTTCTGCCGCTTGAGCTCCTCGAGCTCTTCGTCATCGAGGAGGTACTTGGCCTTCTTGCGGAAGCCGTCCGTGCAGGTGTCCGCGAGCCCCTTTTTGACGCACCGCAGGCACGGTCTCGAGTCGTCGCAGGTGAGGTGGGCCTTCTGGCAGTGGAAACATGCTCGGTTGGCCTTTTTGCGCTTGCTGGCCGAGCCATCGCGGCCGCCAGACTTGGAGGCGGTTGGCGTCGACGCGGCGCTGCCGGCGGCTGAGGACGAGGAGCCTCCCTTGGCGCCTAGGGCCTCCATTTCGCGCTTGAGCGGCGATCCGGACCCTGCTGGAGAGCCAGAATCCGGCCGTTGCACCTTGGATGAGCCGGATGCCGATGCGCTTGGGGAGGTTGAGGACGAGTTGCCGGACGGACCGACGTTGGAGTACAGGCTCTGGCTGAGCAGCGAAGCATTGCTGCGCACGTTGAAGGGCGATGGCTGCTGCTGGGTGCGAGCTTGCGGCGAGGCGTAGAGGGACGCCGAGCTCGGTCGGGTGGCCACGCCAGCGACCGCATTGGGGGGTGAGGCAGCTTGCAGGTGCGATGGCGTCGATGGCCCGCTGGAGCGCGAGAGGGCGTGGAGGGTATTGGCGGCGGCTTCCGAAGGGCTCAGAGAGCCTTCCTTGACCTGAGCGGCGGCGGCGCTCGAAGCTGGCGGCTGTGACCCGGCGGTGGCGCCGTTCGAGGCCGGTGGGCGCCCGCTCGCCGAATCAGGGCCGATGATCATCGTCGGTCGAAGTGGCGGAAGAGCCGCAACGAGGGTGGTGGCCTACAGCAGCAGCAGTACGGACAGTCGTCGGTTCGGGAAAGGTGTGTCCAGCGGGCGTCACCTAGTCACAAGACGTTGCTTGCCGCCGTGGTCTTCGTCTTGGCGGTAAAAGCTTCGGGACCATCCGAGGCGCCCGTTCCGCTCGACGGCGGACTTCGCTGGCAGATATTCCTGCGAGGCGGCTCTTGCCGACTTGTCGCGGATCGGGCAGTTCGATACGATGGATCGAATCAAGGAACGGCCATGGGGCTGGCCGACGGCGGATGGATGATGGGAAGCGGCCCGCTCAGCGTAGCGTGAGGTGTCTGAGGGCGATGGCCGAAGCGGATGTCGATCGGGCCGGGCGCAAGTGGTGAGGCGTGAGCGAAGTGGAGCACGTCGGTGGTGGTTAGGTGACGAGAGGCCAGGCCAGGCCAGGCCAGGCCAGAACAGGCGAGGCGAGGCGAGGCGAAGCGGGCCAGACGAGCAGCCGCCAGCCGGAAAATCGCCTGGCCTGGCCCGGCCTGCCCCAGACGCAGGGTTCGCCGCGTGCCTTCGAAGTCTGGCCTGCCTGTCTGTGGCCTGCCACGCTTTGCCCAGCCATGCCCAGCCAAGCCGCGGGGCCGGCAGCCACACAGACGAGGCCTTTGAGTCACGCAGTGAGGGACCGCCGACGTGGTGCCGCGACCAAGACCCTCGCTCCCTCATTCTCGTCTCGGCGGGCGTCAGGGCCAAACCCTGCCTGACCCGCCTACCGCGCGTACCCTGTCGCCTCCCCGGTGGCAGGCAGGCAGACAGGGAAGCAGGCGGACGTCCGTGTGCGGGGCGAAGGCCCTTGCTTGGTTGCTTGCCGGTGCGTTGTTGCCGCTGGCGCACAGCGGATCGGGGGGAGAATGAAAGGCCGAGGCTCATCGGGCAAGGTGCGACGCCTGGCTGCTGCAGCGCCTGCACGCACAGTCAGCAGCCAGGCGGCTGGGCGGCGTCGGCGGCGAGGCACGCAGGCAGGCGGCCGGGGGCAGGCAAGGGGACTCTGTCGTCGGCGGCGCCCGCGATCGTCATTCACCGCCGAGACAGCCCCGACGCCATCGAAGGACGTGCTTGCGGCCCCCGGTTGCGGTCTGCCACCACCACCAACTCACCTGCTCACCACCGCTACCGCTACCGCTCGGCCGGTCTCACATCGCCCTATTTCGTCCTTCTCACACTCTCTCTACCTGGTCGTCGTCGCTGCTGCCGCTGTGCTCGAATTCTTGACAGCCTCGTCTCATCGCTCGCAGGCCGCACTTTGCCTTGCCCGCCACACGCCTTCAACCTTCACCCCTCATCGAGGACGACCTGCCCTTTTTCCCGACCGCTTGACAGCTCATCGGCTCCTCCGACCGGCCAACACATTCGTGACGACACCTTTTGAGAGCGCCGCTTCTCCGGCCGCCGTTCTTTCCTCCTCGAGCCTGCACCGCTTCGACGACTTGCGCCTTTCGACCGGGCGACGGTCATTGTCTCGACAGCGACCAGCGCCGCATCAGCTACCGGAGTCCTTCCGAGCGTCGCGCTTGGCACCTCGCTGACCGGGCATCTCGGCTCACGCTCACACTAGCGATACCGCCAACCTGCTTGCCGACCCACCCATCGGCCCACTCACCATGTCGAACCCTACCGCCGACCTCGGTCGGATGACGTCCAACCTCAGCCTCAACGACCCTTCTACGTCCTCGTCCGCCTCGCCCTCTGGCTCTTCGCAGCCACCATCGCAGTCGCCGTCACGGCCCATGCCGCCGCACAACGGCATGGCATCGCTCCAGCAGCGCGCCACGGGCGGGCCGCCGTCTCGATCGCCCGGGATGTTGCCGCCGGGTTCCCGGCCGATGGGCCCGGGAGGGCCGATACCGCCGCGCGGAGGCGTTGCGGGTCTGAATGAGCGCACGCGGCAGATGGCCAGCACCAAGCTGCCGCCCAGCTTGCAGGCCAAGCTCGCCGCCAACGCCAATCGTTCCGCCTCGGGAGGGAGCAGCCCGAGCCCCGGCGTGCTGGGACACGACCAGAAGATCGACAGCTCCTCATTGCTAGGCTCTGCGGGAGGCATGGGCAGCCTGACACCGTCGCTGGGGCTCGGCGGCCTAGCGGCTCGGCGAGCGGCCATGGGAGGTCTCGGCTCTGGCGCTGGCTCGCCCGTGTCGGCTGGCGGCCCGCCGGGAGCCGGCATGGGCGCCAGGCGCAATCGCCCCGGTCTCAAGCTGAGCGACATGGGCATCTCTCCGAGCGAGGGCGTCGGCTCTCCCGCCCCATCTTCCTCTTCCTCATCGTCGGCCTCGTCCGGCGGTCTCGGTGGCGGGCGGCGGGCGGCTCCCCCCGGCAGGCTCAGCTCAGGTGGCGAGGACGCCAACGGTTCCGGCGCCATGAGCTCGCCCTTCAGCAACTTTAGCAAGATTGTCGACCCCTCCGGACGGCTCAACTTCAGCGGCAAGGCGGTTCTGCACGCCTCGGGCGTCGAGTTTGGCAACGGCACTTCGTTCCAGATCAAGATGGAGGACCTCGAGCTGATGGACGAGCTGGGCAAGGGCAACTACGGCACCGTCCGCAAGGTCCGCCATACTCGGACAAAGGTCGACATGGCCATGAAGGTGAGTGCCGGCCCCGCTGGCCGTGAACGTCACTTCCTGCGTCTGATGTCGGCATGCTGATACAGGCCCGCTCCGCTCCGCTCCGCCCCGCTCCGCCCCGCCCCGCCCGTTGACTCGCAGGAGATCCGCCTGGAGCTCGACGAGTCCAAGCTCAACGGCATCATCATGGAGCTCGACATCCTCCACCGCGCCATCTCGCCCCAGATTGTCGAGTTCTACGGCGCCTTCTTCATCGAGAGCTGCGTCTACTACTGCATGGAATTCATGGACGCGGGCAGCCTCGACAAGCTGTGCTGGGGCCGCGCCACGGTGCCCGAGGACGTGCTGGCACGCATCACGCGCAGCATGGTGCTCGGCCTCAGCTTCCTCAAGGACGAGCTGCAGATCATCCACAGGGGTAGGTACTGTCCGGCGGCCCCGGTCATCGCACACACTCTCTCTCGCCGACGGTGGGGCGGTCTTTGCTGACAGGGTTTGCTGCTGCTCTGCGCCACCCTGGTATCTCTCTTTCGCCGCCCAGACGTCAAGCCGACCAACGTCCTCGTCAACCGCAAGGGCGAGGTCAAGCTATGCGACTTTGGCGTCTCGGGGCAGCTCGAGAAGAGTCTGGCCAAGACCAACATTGGCTGCCAGAGTTACATGGCTGTGAGTGGATCCGTCGATCTGGCAGATCCCTGCTGCTGCTGCTGCTGCTGCTGCTGCTGCTGCTGCTGCTGCTGCTGCTGCTGCTGCTGCTGCTGCTGCTGCTGCTGCTGCTGCTGCTGCTGTACTACCGCCTCTTTCGACCGCTGACTCGGATCGAACGCCTCTGTACCGTCTCCTCGCTCGGGCCCCCTGTTCCTCGCCCCCCATCAGCCGGAACGCATCAAGGGCGAGTCGCAAAACATGCTGGGGACGTACACGGTCGCGTCGGACGTATGGTCGCTGGGCCTGTCGATTGTCGAGATGACGCAGGGCACCTACCCGTACCCGCCCGAGACGTACTCGAACGTCTTTGCGCAGCTGCAGGCCATCGTCCACGGCGACCCGCCGGAGCTGCCGGCGGAAATCTACTCGGACACAGCAAAAGATTTCGTGGCGCGGTGCCTGGAAAAGGTGCCGGGACGTCGGCCGACGTACGCCCAGCTGCTGCAGGATCGGTTCCTGCTGCAGGACGAGGAGAGGGGCCAGGGCGGCGTGGATATGGTCGGGTGGGTCAATCTGGCCATCGAGGAGAGGAGCAAGAAGAGGGAAAGGGAGAGGAGCGAGGCTGAGGCTCAGGGTCAGGGTAAGGGTCAGGGTTCCGGGTCAGGCGAGCCGAGTCCCGCCGCTGGTGCTGGTGCTGGTGCTGGTGCTGGTCTCGATGCGCAGGCTCCCGAACTCGCCGCAGCCCAAAACGCTGAAGCTCCAACGTCGACGCCTTCACCGACGCAACCTCAACCGTAGCAAGCGTCCTGGCACTTCTTCTTTCCCAGGCCTTGCTCCGCCATCCACATACCACCATCCACCGCCCACCTCACCTCCTCGTTGCCTTGTACCCCGCCGTCGAAACCTCTCGCCTCGCATTGCAAGATTCCATGCTATCGCTTCTGTTGCCCGCTCTTCTAGATGAATCTGCGCACACATACACGTCCTCGCACACTCGAAGCTGTTGCCCATTCCAGCCTGCACAACCACAAGGTTGGAGGTGCCCAGGGCGAAGTGAGGATTGCACGTGTTTGCCAAATACGAGCCGAGACGACGACGATGACGGCGGCGGCGGGAATGATGGCGGGGCAGGGCTAGAGTACAGATGAGGAAAGGACAAGAGGGCGTCCGAGAGCTAGCTGAACCCCCCTTAGGTGGCCGAGTAGAAGTAGTACTCGTCGACGAGGGGCAGGTAGTCGCCAACGATTCCGCCGACCATGCCGATGAGGGCGCGGTTCTCGGTGCGCGCCACGAGGCTCGACAGCTTGGGTCGAGTCCAGCCGTACCACACGGGTCCGCGCAGCAGGTACCACCAGAAGCTGCGGTCGCGTTTGCTCCACTCCATTTCCTCGACCGAGGAGATGGGCCGCTTTTCCTTTGCCGCCGCGCTGTCGCCGCCGAGGAAGGCCGAAAGCAGGCCCAGCATGGGGTTGCCGCCCATCATGGCCGCGACAAGCGGGTTGCCCAGGAGCGAGGCGGCGGAGCCGTTGCCCGACGCCGTCGACGATGAGAGGGCGCGCTTGCGCATCGCCCTGGCAATGTACTCGAGGCAGAACGAGAGGAGGAACGGCGCAGTGTGCCTTCGACCCCACCGGCGGATGGCGAGGACGTAGAGCAGCGGCCGCAGCACCCAGAGCGTCTCTGCCGCCTTGGCCAGCCGGTTCCTGAGGGGCCGCACGAGGTCCTCGGGCCGGCGCACGTCGTTGACGCTGACGACGCGCGAGAGGAGGTAGTCGTTGATCTGCTTTTCGGTCCACGGCTCGAGCGGCGCGGGCGGCGAGGGCGGCCCATGCTTGAGGGCGCCGCTGCCAGTGGACGACTGGTGAGGGGGAAGCGTCCTGGACGACGACATGCTGGCTGTCCCCTGGGCCACCAGGGTGTCGTCCGAATCCGAGCCCGAGTTGTGCCCCGCCATGCCGAGGGCGCGCAGGTGGGGAGGGGCGGGGTTGTGTGGACCCTTTCCCTTTTCTCCTTGGGCGGCGTCGTCTTGCTGGCCTGCCAGCGACCCTGGTCGGAGCGATGCGAGCGTGGGTCGGAGGTAGCCGGTCCTGATGCCCTTCCAGTATCCGCTGGGTGCCGCAGACGAGGAGGCGGTGGGCGGTGATGCCGCGGACGAGTTCTTTTCCGCTGCTGCTGCTGCTGCTGCCTTGTCGAGCGAGGTGGCGAGCGTGGCGATGCGCTTTGTGCGCTCCTCTTCGAGGGTCGCGGGGTCCACTTCGCGCTCGGGGATGGGCGGTTGTATGGACATGCGGTCGCCGGTCATGTGGATGAGGGAGAGGCGGAGCGCGGCCTTGGTTGCCTCGATGGTGGCGACGACGTCCCAGGCGCGCCGCTTGGACAGCTTCCTGCGTGCGGCCATTTCGACGAGAAGCTCGAGGTAGCCGATTATGACGAGGGCGCGGGCGACGAGGTTGTAGGGGGTCGACGTGCGCGAAAAGTGCTGGGTATACCTGGCGTGCTCCGACAGGGAGAAGGAGGAGGGCGAGGACGAGGCAGAGGAGGGAGATGATGACGAGGATGGCAATGTGCCGGGTGCGGCGGTGTGCTGCTGGGAGAGAGCGCGGACGAGGATCGAGTCGTGGTAGAGGCCGAGGAGGTTTAGCGCCGAGTAGATTGCCTCTCCCGCGAGTTCGGCGTCCTTGAAGCGGCCGGGGAGAAAGTAGGTGATGGAGCGCAGGGTGCTCTCGACTCCAGTGATCTGCGAGGCATTGGTGAGGAGAAAATGGTCGTACTGCTTGAGGAGCGACATGGCGCGACGGGCGAGGATGGAGTTGAGCTGGTGGAGAGGGATGGGTGGTGGCTGATGGCGGCGAGCGGGCAAGGGAGCGAGCGAGGAAAAGAGAGGATGCCGAGGGACACCGAGGGTGCGAGGCAGACGAGCGGGGGCCAGGCGAGGCGAGGCGAGGCGAGGCCGGCTTTCAGATGGAGTCGCTTTGCCGGTTGCGGGCCCCGTCGTTTTTGGCGAGCGTCCAGACTTGCGTGGGGCTCACGCATGCGCACGCGGGCTGGCCGGCTGGCTGGCTGGGCTGCTTGGGTCAGGCTAGGCCAGGCTAACCCTGCCGCCCGCACTTCGGAGCCGGGCAGATTGAATCCGCCCAAAGGCGGGAGACGGGGGCCCACCTAGCCCTGGCCTGCATTCTCCACATGCAACCCTGCCGGCTGGCTGGCGTGGCGTGGCGTGGCAGCCCAGGCATAGCCCGACGGGCCGAGATGCTGCGCTGCCTAGCCTGTGCGCTCCCCCCGCGCCAAGTCAAAGTTGGGCTAGACGATACGAGGAGGGGCCTCAGGCTGGGCAGAGGAGGGGGACCCTGGCGTGACCTGAGCCTGGGCTGCTCGCCCAACCTGGGCTCGCGCAACCTGGGCTCGCGCTCGTGCTCGTGCTTGTCCTCCCTCATGCTACACGGCCCTCGCCCCATACCAAGCCACAATCTCCTTATCGGGCCCACCTTTTGTCCTCGACTGGTCTCCAATACCGTCACCGCCTCCAGCACCACCATCAACAACACCCTCGCCCGACCCCCCGCCAGTCTCACCACTGCGCTGCCACCATCCCCACCCCCTATCGGCCCCGCCCCTGCTCACCTCAGCCCAGCCTGTCGCCTGTTGCCCCTGTGCTATCCCTGCCTGCTTGTAGTAGACCTCTCGACGCCCCCCTCGTCTTCATATTGCATCGCATCGCATCGAGTCCCATCGCACAACATCGTCCCGACTCCCAGACTCGCTTTCCCAATCCCCTCCGCTGCTCGCGACACATCTGCCATCTACCCACCGCAGCGCTCCTTTGGCACGCCTTATCTCGAGCGCATCCACACCGACCTCCGCCACAGCCCTTGCTAGTTATCAGCACCGCCGCCGCCTACTAGCCCGTACCTCGACTGCCCAGCTCAGGCCAACCCCGTCAGCAATCTTGACACACCAGCCCCGTCCCCGCTCCCGCCCCGTCGCGCTGCGCAGCCCTCGGGGTTCGGTCGTGCACTCACGCGGATGCAATCCGCAGCCTCTTCCCACTCCAACGCCAGCACCACCCTCAACCATGCGACTCAAACACCCCAGCCCCCATCCGCCCACCAGCTGCGCCAGCAGCACCTCGCAAAGCTCGACGGCGTCCTCTACCACTTCTACTCCACCACCGCAAACATAGTCATCCAGTCCAGGCTGCTCACCTACCGCGCCGCCGCCGCGCACCCGGACCACTCCCAGCTCCAGGCCAGGCTCACAAAATGGTTCGCCCTCCAGATCCCCGAGCTCGACCTCTTCAAGGAAGAGATCCGCCTCTGGCGATCCATTTCGTCGATGCTGCCACTCGATGGTGACGCGCCAGCCTCGCCCGCGGGCCGCGCATCCGATAGCGTGCCCCCGCTCGTCATTGACATCGTCCTCGACCTGTCCGGCGTCTCGGATGGCCACGTCGTGCAGCTCTGGGCCAAATCGGGCACCCGCCGTGCGCCTCACTTTCTTGGCAACGTCGAGGCCGCATCGCCGCCCGCATGGGAGGACCGCCTCCCCATCGACGGCCTGCACAGCGCCAAGACATCGGCCGACGATCCGGAGCGTCCGACGGCGAAGCGCACCACGCGGCTCGTGGTCCTCGAGAGGTGGAAGCTCGAGTTTGTGCCTGGCACACCCGAACAGGTACCGGAGCTGCCCACGCTCTACAAGCGCTCCATTGCCCATTTCCGCGGCCTGTACACGCTAGTCAACGCGCTGCCCGTCGGCCGGCTGTGCGGTCGCATCGAGAACGCCAAACGGAGAGCCGAGGCGATTTCGGGCAGAAAGGCCAGACGCGACGCCAGTTCGGACCCGAGTCCCGAGCTCGCCATCGACGACGACGTCGGCGAGCTGGATCACGAGCTCAAGATCGGATGCCGCCTCAGCATGGCCGAGGAGGCGGGTGACGGCGGCGAAGACGGCGTTGTCGGCATCGACCGCCTGCTCCAAGCTGAAGTGGATGCAGCGGGCCAAGAGGCACCCCTGCCAGGGCAGGCCAAGCAGACCGGAGGAACGACGGTTCGGCGTTTCGCGCCCATCGTCACCCCGCTCGGCGCCCTGCACACCTCGATCACGTTTCGGCGGCTCGCCGACTTCTCGGTGCACGACGCCAAGAGCCTAGAGAGCATCCGAGAGATGCAGATTGAGATGGACGAAGACTTTTTCAGGCCGACGGTCGAGGCGGTGCGCAAGCGGACCGAATCGGGCGCCTCGGGCGTGCGGCCCAGCCTCTCGAGCGACTACGAGCGGCGTGCCAGCTCAGGCTCTGCGGTTCACTCTGACGTCGGCTCAGGCCGATCGCCTGCCTCGGCATCTCCGCTGCAGCCTGCCGCCGTCCTAGCCGCCGAGGCTCCGTACGCTGCGCAGCCTGGCGTCGCGCAAGCTTCGACGAGCGGCAACGGCAGCAGCGGCGGCGGCCGAAATGGCGTCGCTAGTCTGTCGCGTCCCCAATCGCTGTCCTCGGCCACGGCGCAGCCGCGTATCGGGGGCCTGTCGGCGGGCAAGGCGTCGGCAGCCGCACTCGGCCCCAATCACCCTCCAGGATCCATGGGCCCGCCGACGACGATCCCGAGTCAGGCTGCAACGAGCGCTGCGGTCTCGAGCGAGCAGTTGCTGTCGCGTTCGCCGGCCACCGGCACCAGCGTCTTTAGCACCAGCGCGCCAGGTCGCCCAGTGGCCGGTCTCTCGAGCCTGCGCAGGACTGGCTCGATCACGTCCAACGTCTCCAATCTCGGCTCTTCTGGCCTGGCCGGCGCAACGCCATCGAGCCCGGCACTGGCTGCGGCGCTCAGCGTCGAGCCCGCCTTCCTCGCCATGGGACAGCCACGGCGCCCAAGCACCAGCGAGCGGAGGCTACGCTCCATCAGCTCCACGTCCAGCGGCAGAGACAGCCCCACCTCATCGGTCACGGGATCATCTGCCCCAGCATCGGTGCCCGTCTCTACCGGCGGCACCGCGGCAGCGCACTCGAACAGCCTGAGGACATCCCTGGGCCGCGTCACGAGCGGGCCCATTCCCGTCAGCAGCCCGCATCCTCGGGCCGGGTCCTTCAGCCCGTCGTCTCCGTCGCCGCTCGTGCAGCAGATCTCGATGCATCAGAGGGTGCAGACGGGAAGTTCGTCGGCCTCGATGGCCTCGCAGACGGGCTCGAGGCTGTCGTCGAGCCCGGCAATGCGTTGCCAGATGGTCGGCGGAGCAGTGCCGAGCCTGCGCAGCGTGTTCCAGACCTACGCGCCGAGCCCATCGAGCTCGCTGGCGCACGTCAGCTCGCCGTCGAGCCTCAGCCTACGCGGCTCCATGTCGAGGCGGTCCATCGGGGCGGGTGATTCCGGGTCCAGCTCGAACCTCGCCTCGAGCAGCTCGGGCGCCCGGCCGCAGATGATCAAGCGCTACAGCACCAACTTTGGCTATCGACAAGCCGCTCGGGATCAACGGTCCGTGTACGGCAGCAGTCTCGGAGGAACGGCCGATCCTGGAGCGATGGGCTCTTCGACGACGGGTGCTGAGCCGGCCAGCCTGCCTAGCAGCGGTGCTGGCAGCCTTGGATCGCAGTACGGTCGGAGCTGGGCAGCGCGCATGGAGCAGCGACAGCTGTACAGCAACTTTGTTCGCGGCTCGACGAGCAACGACGACGCCACCAGCGGCAGCACCTCGACCTCGATCCGCTTCCGCTCGTCGCCCGCTGCGGGCGTCACCCCGACCGGCGCCCTGACACCCAGTCCTGGAAGCCACGAGGGCGACCTCGACGACCTGATGCGGCTGATTGACTCCAAGCCGGTGCTGAGGACGAGCGCGGCACGGGCCGGTGAACCTCGGGATCGGCCAGAAGCGTCGAGCTCCGGTGCCGCGACGCCCGGCAACGAGCGCGATCGTGACAAGGACTCGCCCAGCCCCGTGGAAGGAGGCATCGACCGGAGTCGCGAGCTGCAGACCCGCAACGCTGCGAGCTCGAGCAGCTCGAGCCTCGGGGCGCGGAGCGGGCATGGCAAGGCCGGCGTCTACGCGTCGATTCGAGGGACCAACCCGCTCTCGCGCAGCCAGGTCGACGAGATGCTCAGCCGCATGGTCCAGTCGGTCAACCTCGGGCCCTCGACCGGCGGCGCAGCGGGCGGCATGGAACGCCACCGCACGACCTCTGGTGCTCTAGCGCAAGCCTCGCCGAGCGACGATCGCGTCTCGTCGCAGTTGGGCTCTGCCACGGCTTCTCCGAGCGGACGGGTACGTCCGAGCCTGCGCGGGGCGTTTGACCGGCCAGCCTCGGCGAACGAGTCGCGCGTGGCGCCATCGCGGGCAGTGACGGCCTACCGCGGCGGCGCGTCTTCACCCATCGTCGGCGATGCGGCGGACGCCATCTCGGCGTTCCGGTCCGGCCGTCCTGCTCGCGATGCGGCTGCCGCACCGATCGGGACCGGACAGGTGCGAGGCCTGAGGACGGCGGCCAATGCTTCTGGGTTTGATGGCGGGTTTGATGGCAGTTTCGACGACGAGACAGGCCTGCTGCGGTCCGGGGGAGCTCTTGGGCTGCTTCGCGATCAGGGCGCTGGCGGGCGACCTGGTCACCTCGGCGTGATGGGCGGCGACGGCACCCGGCGAGGCCAGCTGGCTGGCGGCGAGGCGCTGCAGACGGCCGGATCGGGACATTCGCTCGAGTACGGCGCGAGCCGGAACAGCTACGATCCGATGGACGACGAAGCGGCCGGCCGGATGGAGATGCCGCTGGGCGACCTCTTTGACGACGACTACGGCGTGTCCGTGCCCGACCAACAGCAGCCCGTCGCCGGCATCGCCGGCATTCACCCTCATCGGCCCAAGGCGACGACCGGGGCGGGCGTTGGTACTGGCACGGGTACGGGCACGGGCACCGGTACGGGTACAGGTACGGGTGGCTTCCAAGTTACGAGGACGCGGAGCGGTACAAGCCGCAGCAGCCCGTCGTCTCATGCGACGGCATTCCTTGGCGGCGCTGGTGGTGGTGGAGTCGGTGCCGGCGGTGGCGGCGGGATCGCGACGACTATGGACTGGGAGCGCGGGGAGCGGGAGCGACATCGGGCCAGGGAGCTCGAGCGCCGGCGGGCCGACGCCGAGATGGCGCGCAACTTTGGAAACGAGGTCGGAGCCGGCACACGCGGTCGAGGCTCGCGCAGCCTCTGGCGTCACGGGCTCACGAGCCCCTCTGCGCCGTCGAGCGTGACGCACGCCGTCGGCTTTGGGGCGGCGATGAACGCGATGCGGAGCGGCCAGCCCTCGCTCGCCCAGCAACGCCTAGGTCGCAGGGGCCGGTGCGGCAGCGACCCTGGCGCCGAGGCCGATGACCGTGGCGACGACGGCGAGGACGACGAGGATGACGAGGAGCCCGCTGGCTACCGCCGCGGGGCACGCGATGACTATGGACGGCGATGATGATGCCGCGCCGCACTTTTCCAACCTCGACGCGTACGACCGCCCGCGCCAGACATCTGTATGATTCGTGCACTAATGCCTTTCTCTCCCTCTGCAAACCGACATGCATGCTGTTGTGATTGCCCTAGTAGCGCCTGCTGTGGCTTGGGGACTTGGCGCTGTGGCCGTGCTGTGCTGGGGACGAGGAGTGAGGGGCGAGCCAAGAACCGCCGGTCAGTTACCCCGCACTTTGCCTTTTTCTCGGAAGACGGGCGACGCGCGAGGGTGAGCGGGGGGCGTGGCTTGCCAGCCAGCCAGGCGCCCAGTCAGGGTCGAGAAGGGTTGGTTGGACCCAGTGAGCTGGCACTCTCGCCCGGCGGGTTGGCGGGGGGTCGCCGGCGCTGCGGGGGCAATCCCGTCCGTACGTGCGGCGTGGTTGGCTTCGCGCCGTCTTGTCTCGCAGCTTCTTCCTCGACCACCACCACCACCTCGACCTCGCTGTCACCTTGACCCTCCTCGCTGGTTCCGCCTTCGTTTCGCATCCCTCTGTCCCCGGACCAACGCTCTCTTCCTTTCGCCCCACGTCAAACGCACGGTCCAGTTCAAGATGGTACGTCCCACCTCCCTCCCTCCCTCCCTCTCTGGTCCTCCTCTTCACTCACCTCCATTCCTTCTCTTTCACCTCTGCGACGACGCACGACAGCCGGGAGCGAAGCACATCAACGCGAAAAACAACCAGTTTCTCGAAAAGACGCGCTCCAACGCCGGCAAGGCGCGGGTGCGCGCCGCCGACCTCGTCGAGACCGACGAGAATGGCGAACCCGTCCGCCGCCGCCGCGCCGGCCTCGAAAAGGGAAGGGGCATCGTCAAGCCGCCCGTCTCGGAACGTGTCTCCAAGAAACCTGCCGTACGTCCAACCCCCCCCCCCCCCCCCTCCACCGCTCCCCGCACGATGGGTCGAGTTCGGGTGATACGTGAGATGCGAGGAGAGGTGACTGATATGATGCCTTTGCACCCTTATGATGGGTGATACAGGTGTCGAGTACCACGCTCTACCTCATCTGCTTTGTCGTCATTGGCGGTGGTGAGTGCCCCCTTTCTTCCTTCCTTCCTTCGACGTCGAGCGCTCGTCCGTCCCTTTCCCGAGCCGGTCCTCAAGGATCCAAGACACTGAAACACTACCCTCTTTCGCCCTCGTCGCCCCGCGCCTCCAGTCTTCTTTGAACTGCTGAGACTCTTCCTCTGACCACCGGCCTAATTCCCCCTCAAACCTGCCCTGCAAAGCGTGCAAAGCGCTCGCTAGCCCACGACATCCCTCCGTCCCGCCGAACATGCCCCGAGGCCGCACATCTCGTCTGGCTCTGGATCGCCTACCGCGCCGCACCGCCCCGCCCCTGCGCCTGCACCATCATTGCCGTACACTTGTACTATACCTCTCAGACCGCCCGGCGTGGTCTTCAAAAAAGATCCATGCGTTTCCCTCCCTGCTCGCTCATCATAGCTGACGGTCGCCCCCGCGCAAAACGAAACACGACCAGACCAGCATTGGGGCTCGAACCCAGAACCTGGCTGGCGTCCAGTCCAAACCTGCTTTTAAATGGCGGAAAAAGTCTGCCCTCAAGGTCCAACCAGGACAGGACGCAAAAAGAGATGACCAGCCTGGGGCTCGAACCCAGAATCTCCTGATGATACAACAGCGGAGCACAAGGCGTGTGTGCTACATCGTAGTCAGACGCCTTACCAATTGGGCCAACCGGCCATTTCATGTCAGCATGCCAGAGTGTTGCGTATACAAAGGCATTTACTATGGTCTGAACTCATTCCATGTCTTTGGTACAAGCGACTATTTCTGGCGCCAGGCAGCAGCAGAGGCGAGCGCCGAACACGGCCACCACCGACCTCGAGCGCGGGGCGAAGCGCTGCTTGACCCCCGACGACAGCCAGGGCGGGAAAGAGAGCGTAGTATGCAGTCGAATCGTCTCTATCTATGTACAGGGGAACAGGAACGACGACGGTAGCCAGGCAAGAAAAGAAAAAGTCGGGAAGCTTTGCTAGGCATCAAAAAGGGACGAGGGTGGAGCCAAGCGCTTGGTATAGTTGGTCAGAGCCATATTGAAAGAAGGAGGGTTGAGTGGCCCGCGGGCTTGCACCGGTATAGGTTCGAGAGGACGACGAGCAGGGTGTCGGGTTGCGCGACAACATCGAGCGCGGGACAGAAGCGTCCAACAACGACGTGCCGCAGCCCGCTTCGCTGCCATGCATGGCGCTTGCCGTTCGCTAGCGCACCTCAAAGTCGCCAAAGATGTGGTAGACGTCTTGCCAGTCGGCCTGCTCTCCGCTGCGCTTCTTGCGGCCCACGTCGAGCCGCTCGGCCCAGTAGGCCGTAGGCTCGGTGCCCGTTGTGCCCGGCAGCGGCTGCCAGAGCGTGTCGTTGGTGTCGCCATCGACCGTCTTGGTGAACCAGCGCGGCTTGTGCGGCGGCAGCTCGCCCGTCTCGCGCTTCTTGCGCGTCTCGCGCTGGAAGTTTTCCAGGTTCTGCTTGAGCTCGTTGGCCTGATCAAACTTGCCCTGCTCAAACGCCGACAGGTCCGGGCGCAGCCGGCAGTCGGTGGGCGCCAGCCACGGGCGCAGATCCGGTGGGCACGAGTTGAGCGTGATGGCGAAGCTGTCGATGGGGTTAGTCGGCGGGAAAGGGCAGGCACGCAGGCAGGCAGGCAAGGCGAGGAAGCAACTCTGATCAGCTCGATCGGCCACGACTGCCGCTAGGGATCGCGTCTTGCCACCACTCACGGGGTCAGGTTGAAGGGCGTGGCAGGCTTGACGCTGTTGCGCCACAGCAGCAAGTACTCGGCTGTGGGCTGGGCGGTAGCAATCTCGTCGTGCGGCGCCGAGACCTGCTGGTCCGGGTGGAGGTCGCCCGAACCGGCGCCCACCTTGCGAGCCACGAGCTGGCTGTTCCAGCGGCCGGCAATGTCCCACGCCAGGTTGCCGTGCTTGTCGTAGACTGAACCGCGGATCTCGAAAGCGTCCTTGCCCCGCCAGCCGCGCGGCTTGAAGGTGAGGATGCACTTGTCGCCGGTGGCGTGGTTGGTCACCTCCATGTCGCCGAAGTGGTCGATGGTGGGCGACCCGACGATGAAGCCGCTGACCGACGTCGTCACCTTGTTCCACGAGTAGTGCTCGACGACGAGGTCCGCGTCGGGCTTGGCGCCCTTGGGCTGCAGCAGCTCGCGCTCGCTGTCGACCCAGGCGCGCGGCACCTTGAGGTTAACGTGGGCCACGCCCGTTGGCCGGATCTCAAACGTGCGCCCGAGGAACTTGGACTTGGCATCGACGCAGCCCTTGTACTCCCACGACGGCGACTCGGCGAAGCACGCCGAGATCGGCGGGTGGTGGCTGACCTGCTCGCTGACGTAGCGAAACTTCTTGTCGAGACGAGCGTACTCGAACGTCTCGCCCAGCAGCGGGTTGAAGGGCTTGGCGATCCGCCCGATGGTGCTCGAGTAGTTGCTCATGGCAAACGCCGCCACAAACGCGATACGCTTGGTGCTGTCCTCCTGCATCGCCGCCGCGTCGAGGCACTCGGAAAACTCCATGTCCTCGGCCATCCTCTGCAGCATCGACGTCGGCTCGTTGAAGCTGACGGGAAACGAGATCTTGGTCAGGTCCTTGCCGATGTTGTTCTTGAGGATGGCCCAGAGCGAGACCGAGGGGCGGTCATCCTTGCCGATCGGCATCTCGGAGCGGAGGTGGAGGTAGGGCATGATCGGGTCTTCCTGCACGCGGCCGGCGTCAAAATGCTCCGGCCAGCCCTCGGTGAGGCTGTGCTGTCGCTCGACGGCCAGCGGCTCCTCGATCTTGAGGCCCGGCAGCTGGCCGGTCTCGACGGCGTCGAAGAACTCGTCGGCGTCGTCGTCGACGCTGTCGCGGTACGTGGATCCGCTGGCGGTGAGCTCGCCTTCGGTGATCTCGGCAATCGAGCGCTGCTTGGCCAGGATCGGCGGCGAGGGCGGGTCGCTGAGCCGGAGGTCCGTCGCGGTGCCGGCGCCCTCCTCGCCCAGGCGGCGAGCGGCCAAGGCGGAAGGGG